GTATATTCGGTACATACAGTGGTATCCTTTGAAAGTTGACTGAAATTTTTGCAAGTTAATTATCTTATTCCTGTCAAACGACACGGATCGTATTGGTACATTAGTTCCAATTGATTTATAAAATCCTTTGCTCTTACTGCATCAAGAAGGATCACGTTTTCTCATTCTGTTTCAGTGGAAATAAATCGCCGTGACTTATCCAGGGGTGGGAGTGTTATTGAAACTTCATATGATTCTCAAATAACTCAGCGTTTTTATTGATATCCAGTCATTCAACAGTTTGCATTTTAACACCAATAAAATGTTTTAACTTAGTAATAATGGTTGTATTGAACGCAAATCATATAGACTCGCAGAGTTAACTAATAATTTTTCTACCATTCTAAATGTAGAACTAATAGGATCAGTATCGAATGTCGATGACTAACATAACTATTTATTTTGGGTATTTATTTGACGCTACAGGTTAGTAGGCTTATGTATAAATTACTTATTCTCGAAAATACTACATGAAGCTAGGTGAAACAAAATACTATGAAGCGTAACTATTAAATCATAAATACTTCGCGACGATGGTAATAGTTCATTAAAGCAACAGAGCAGAGAAACAAGTATGGAGAATATTCGGGCTGTAGAGCATCCACTAACAAGAATTATGCAAGCGACAAACGACCAGAGTCGCTTACGGCTATTGCAACTAGAATCAGCCACAGTTGTTTTTATATAAATGGCTTGAAATATTACATTTTCCTCTAGAAGCCCAACCCAAAGACTCTTATAAGTAGATTTAGTGTCATGAAATCGTGGATTCCTTATTAAGGACCCATTGCATTTTTAAAATCCTGAACACATGATTCTGTAAATATCAAATGTCTGTGTTCAACAGTAAATGTGTCATTTCATTTAATTAATCGTCAAACTGTAATAATGGACTAGCAATGAAATATAGTACAAATAAATGTTCGGGTAATTTAGATCCAGCAACTATTAGCGTTTCAGTCAAGGCTCTCTTATCTGCCTTTTTCGTTGATCAACCTTTGATCCTCGTTACTAGCATAAATTTTATTTTTGGAGTAACTTGAAACGATAACCCAATGGCTCATGGCATAAAGAATAAGTTAATCTATGGTTTCTACCGCTCAAAGGGAGGTACAAAATACAATGGACAACCTGGATGCAACTAGACGATTCGGACTTTGAAGATGTCCTAGCTCTTCTATTCCATACACACGAACAAATGCAGATGAAGACAACCAGTTTAGCAGCAGCCTCTGCAGCAATAGACCTCAACATACACAAGGCAAAAAGCAACATCCTCAAATACAACACACAGGACACCAACCCAATCTCACTTGATGGAGGAGCTCTGGAAGAGGTGGAAATTATCACGTATCTGGGTAGCACCATCTATGAACAAGGAGGATCCGATGCAAGTGTGCAGGTGAGGATTGGCAAAGCAACAGCCGCACTCCTACAGTTGAAGAATATATGGAATTCAAAACCACTGTCAACCAATATCAAAGTGAGAATCTTCAATACAAACGTAAAGACAGTTCTGCTGTACGGAGCTGAAACTTCGGGAACTACCACAACCGTCATCAAGAAAGTACAGGTATTCATAAACAATTGTCTTCGTAAGATACCGAATGTCCGTTGGTCGGATACCATCAGCGACGAACTACTGTGGTAGAGAACAAAACAACTTCCAAGTGAAGAGGGAATTGGGAAAAGACACTGGAGGTGGACATGACATACATTGAGGAAATCATACAGTTGAATCACGAGGAAAGCCCTGACTCGGAGTCATGAAGGTAAACGGAAAGTAATAGGAGGCAGACATCAAATGAATAAGTAGCAGCCGGAGAGAACTGGTAGAGCTTGTCTCGGTCGTAGTAGGATGGTGTATGCTGGTCAGCAGCGCATTCTCACACAAGGAGTAGCTGCAGTATGTAAGTAACTACCGTTCATTTGACATTTGTTCATAAACAACACGTAAAACACTGATTTATACAAAGTATGCGTGTCTAGAACTATTAACTTATTGTTAATACGTTGTCTTCTGGACCCAATCAAGTTTTGAACAAACTCGATGAGGTTCAGTAGAGCGATTGGTATTCGAAATCGAATTACTAGTCACCGATCGATCCGACATGTACACTACCATCTTTGCTTATAGTGGTTGTGTTTATGTTGGTGTTTTTGCAATAATTTTGTGATTTTAGTGCTACAACAGACTACTTAAATATAAAAACATCTAAAATATATGAAACTCAGTAACTGATATACTGAATGACCACCTCATACTAGGTGATTCAAGGTCATTGAAACGAAACAGCGAGGGACTTTGAGTGGTCCTAACTTTTTTACCATGCCGTAGGTCACCCATGTGAATGATCTGTTTGGGTGGTCATGGTCTGCTGAAGTTAGATGGAAACAGTATGACCTCCTAGCTTACGTCAAAGTCACATTTGGCAGTTAATATCTGATCCGGTTTATCCTATCTCGATAAAAATGTTAAATGGTCATTTGATGTTGTTAAGAGAAATACTGTCAACGGGAAATTGCATTTATTTGTAAGAGCGAATAAAAGAAATAAAAAATGGAACTACTGCCCCATATACATGTTTGTAGAGTGCAACCGCTTGATGGAATCTGGTTGTCTTTAACCTTCATAAGGCTCTATTAACAATTCAACGTTAAGTGATATGCCTAGTGAATGACTTGACTGAGAGTCATTTACATTTTATTTTCTTTGTACCACAGTAATAAGAGTTTAAACAGTTTTTTTATGGCAGGTCATTTAGTAGAATATCATATTCTTCATATGACAGAATAAAAGTATTTTATTTGTAGTAACCATCAGTAGTTAATGTGTTATTAGGAACTATGCATAATTAGAGCGATTGTAGAACATTTATTCACCAAACAGTTTCTCATGATATCCAGAGTTAAAAATCAACCCAATTCTTGCAAAATGTTTGCAGTGTTAAATTGATCAACTTCAAGTTTAATTGATTGATCTGCGTATTCATAACTTCACGAATACGTGAAGCATTTAAAGAACTGTTAGTGAGGTTATAGATATGTTCTCCGTAAAGTATTTCAAATACTCAAGGAAATAAAACCGTGAGTAGATAAATAGTCACTTACTAGTTTGAATAAGTAAAATTTTTTTTCACATAATAACGGGCACATTGAAAAGTTTATGGTAGTCATTTTCTTTCATCTCACAGATGTTTAATTCTGCGAAACACATTTGCAGATCTTTAATCCACTATGAAGTAAAAGCTAGAAAGAAACATGCTTTCAAACTATGACAGCCTTTATAAAGCCCTCAAAGGGAAGAATAACTTTTCTACGTACAGATTGGTGAAATAATTTTATAGAAAAATTAACTTTTGATATTTGACAGTAAAAGTGCAAAACAGTTAGGACGGTGAGGGGAATGTGAATCATTCAAACTGAACCTTGACTGTAAATGTTAAATATCCTTAAAAATACTAGTAATATATTAACAGAGTTAAATCCTTCCATACCAGCCGTAGTGTCTACAAAGAACAGTTCTGTAATGGTAGGGTTATGTGCAATAGATCAATAAGGCACATAATTTTCATTCATAAGGCCATAGGGCAGTGATCTCGGTTAGCATGCACATGTGAATCCCAAGATTAAAAGCCACATTCGACAGGATAAGTGACCAATTACTTCCACCTAATACTAACCATAATTTAAGAGAAAAATATTTATGTACTACTCTTTTCAATTTACAGTCTAACTGCCACATTTAATTACAACTACACTGATATCAGAGAACTCTTATTTCTATCAAACAGTTACCTTTACCTTGTTAACTACTATGACACTTGCATGACACACATTTATCATAAATCTGATTCGCAAGGGGTTATTTTACACTGATTTTTAGGAAAACTAGAAGTCGTCTAGTCTGTTTATAACTTGAACAACACAGCAAAACTTTGTGGTACTACCATCAAGAACACTGATTGTGAATTAAATGAAAGGTCACTCAGATAGATCTAGAGAGAATACAAGATCCTGATTTTGATGGTCCATCAATTCACATCGTCGAAATGAATGCATATTGTTTTCTGCAGATACTTTTATGAAATGTCACAGAAGGCATTTCACTTCGTTTCATTACATCTGTTTTGTTGAAAGGCGGAAAGGTAATAATATTATTTGACGTTATTTTGTTTTATTTTGGAGAAAATTAAGCTATTTTAATCAGTTATTAAAGTTTGAATTTGGATTTTATCAAGTTCGAAAGTTATACTACAATTCAAGTCTACTCCTATTTTGTTACAGTCGAAATGGATCAACCGAGAAATTTATGTATTTAAATCAGTGTCGAAAAATACACTCATTATACGTAATATTTATTTTTGTTTAATACTGTGAAAGAAAATAAGAATATACTTGAAACATATCTAAGTAGTTAATCATTTTGTTATAAGTATTCTATAATAGTAGTAATAACCACTGTCAGTAACTCTGATAAAAACAAAATCAACCTATTTTAATGTATTCACCGGTTCAAGTTGTTCTTGGAGAGTTATCTTTTTGCACAACTGTAAAAATATTATTCAAAGCTTTATGTTTTACTGTTATTTAAAGTTTCGTTTGGATTCATTTTCAGACTGTTTAGAAAGACATAAACGTGTTAAAATGTTTTGGAAAAGTATAAAAGTTATACTTAGCAAAAATAAAGTTAAGTTAATGAAATCTGAATTACTATAAAAAAGTTACAAATAATTTAAATAAGAACTGATGTAATATAATTAATTATTCTTAAAAGGAATGATCACTTTAGAAAGACAAAATAATAGAAGTATTTTAGATTATCTGACAATATGAAAAAAATATTTCGAGTGTCATGTCCAAATTACTTCTGGAATCATTCGTTCTATACTTCCTACTGGACATACTAGTGATTCGTCCGCAAGGAAATCAGAATAAAATGGTACCAAGTAGCCTCTTACGTTTTTAAGTAACTCAATCGCTTTTTCACGATCACTGACAATTAATGGAACTTCATTTCTCCTTTCAGCGCAATGTCGAAAGGTTAACAAGCCTGAGCCAGGTATGCAATTAAAAACCTATTCATAAAAAAAGACAAAATCATCATATTGCTTTATAACGGAATATCCAATTTGTTGACTAGTGAAAAAACAAATTATAAATCAATCAGTGAGACTCCAAAGTTACAACTTCTAATTATCTGTAAATTCTCCACCGTTCTTAAAACATTACACAAACTTACATTTTGCCAAGAACGTCATACTCATTAACACTGGTTCATCAGTACAGTTTCTCATTTATTTATTTATTTGATGTGAATCGTGCTTTATTAGATAATATGAGCACGAACATCTAATGAAAAGCTCTTTAATTGTACAATAAAATTAAGTGATTCTCAAGGAATTGAATATCATAGTGATGTTGACGACAAAGTGACGAGTGAAATAGTGATCAAAAAACGCTTCAAAATTCGTCATCCTATATTTTAAATATGTTTAGAATACATTTTTATATTAAATAAATTTCTCAAGGCTACCTAAATTTTTAGATTTCTAGAGAAGTGAATTGTATATTTTGGTAATTTATTCATCCAATTATGGCAACGTGAACGTATGCATAGATGTTACAGATTCTACATTGAGCATCATTTTTAACAAAAGAAAATATCGGCGTATAATTTAATATCTTCATTTATTGATTCAGTATATATATATGAAAAGGAATCGAAAATAACTTCACAATACAAGAAACCTTAACAAGTTCTATAAACACAAAGTAATGCTTTTCATCGGTTGCACAGTTTCTAGTTTGATAGCTTTTGTGTTAAAAACAAGCTACTAGTATTTGACAGATTTCGTTGCAGTTAAGTTACGAACTCGCTAAACAGCCCACTGAATAATTGAAAAGCCATATGGCATTAAAGATTTATACCTGTTGTCAACTTCCGTTCAAATGTTTGAATTTATTCAGATGTAACATTTTTTTTTACTTTTTTGTTGGTGTTGAGGATTTAACTTAACTTGTAACATTACTTTTCCTCTTTTTAACAAAAAAAAACTACTCAACTTAAACAGGAACCACATTATCTTGCAGACACTATATTTGTAATAATATTTATAGCTGTATGGCTACTTAACAATTAAACATGGAGATATGACTTTCATAGAATATTTATTTGTTTATATATAATATGGAAAAAATAATTAGCTCCTCACTTTCTCGAAAATCTCTCCGTTGTTAACAGCAGTTGCATTCCAAACGTCGTGGAAAAATTCATTTGACACTGGGTCATCTAACAGATCATGATGCACATACATTTTGTATTCTTTTGGAATCTTTGGCAACATTCCAAGGAATTCAGCCATCAAACTTCTGCGAAATCTTTGTATAAATGGATGTACTTTTGCACATGTATTTCCAAGCTTTCCCTCAATTAAGTCATTGTCTGAGTTACTTTCGATTATAATACCCACTTCACTATCACGAAAGCCTAACATGCTTCGATCATTTATATTAGCTGATCCCAAAACCATCTTCTTGTCGTCAACAATCATAACTTTGCTGTGAATGTAAATTAGTTCTGTTCTCTGAAATGGAAAAAGAAGGATAAACTCGAAAACGAATAACGCAGTGCTGAAAGCCATTTCAATGAGGAATCCTTATGTTTTTAATGTTTTAAAACGTTGTATTCACTAGGAGATTTATAGGTGCATCATGTCATTGAAACATTACGTAAATAAACTACTTGCTAAAAAGTGGTAAATCATGTTAAAAGTACCTGGAATAATCTAGCGAACTGATTTCCATATAAGATCATAGATACATTGTTCTGGAAATTATTTAAAATACTCTGCAATCTATGCATAAAAGATTATATTAATTCATGGTTGTTTCTTGTCTTCTACTTTATTGAGTGATCATAAGAAGATTAAATAACTTTATTTATTGATTTTTGAGTAATCTTAGTCGTTCAATCTACCCCCAGTAAAAATCATAGGGTCACTGAATCATACTTACGTGACAGATTAAAGTATTTTCGTATTTTAACGCTTTAACGCATACTGGTAGTGAGGATTCAGTTTGGTTAGTAATAAATCGTTCTTTGATCGTCTTTTTTCTCTTATCTAATATTATCTTACCAAAGATGAAATATCAGTGCTGAAATAAGTAGGCATCCGGAAAAGCAACAAAATCAATAAATATCGCGACGATGAACATAAGGCTACTATTTAAGATGGTAAACATTCGACACATTTAACAAACATAATATATGCACCTAAAACAGACAAGAATTTCAACAGACTAATCAAAGTAATTAATTACAAAAGCAGTTTCAAAGAGTTTTATAAAAATAAAAAACTTGGAAATAAAATAAACTGAAAATAAACTAAGGTAATTTTACAGTCACTAGTTAGTGCGGAATGATTTATTCTGTAAAAAGTACAAATATTTAATTGCTCATCATTAACTATGATGTTAAAACAGTCCACATTACAATAATTAGACAAAACAGCAAAATAACAGTGTATGAAGTGTATAATATCACAAATTTTCAAGTATGTTTACTTGAAATAAAGCCGAAAATATTTACGGTTAAAATACATGTATGACATAAGTGAAAGTGTGGAATCCACATAGAAGAATAAAGAGTGAATGAACTCTTTGGTTAGAAATCAATGTTGAGTCATGCCAACTTCAGCCTTGAATAATTCAGTTTTAATACTTTAGAAAAAACAGTTTTTCAAAACCAAATACATATGGAATATCCCAGAATAGCGACATCAATTCCTAACCATTTGTTTCTAACATTTCGAAAATAAAGCCCGTTATCATGCCTTTCTTTTCAGTTATAACGCACGTAAATAGGAATGGTTACAAATAGCTTATCTCTTTGACGCTTGAAACAGCAGTCACTAATTTTACACTGACGTTAATTCAAATTACATTGGTTTGTTAATACGTTTAATACTACACTAAGTTGACTTACTATAGAACCATCAGGCCATTCGTCATAATTTCTTAAGCTACATATAGAAACATAGTCTTCAGGATTCGGTATAACATGTTTCAACCGGGGAATTAAAGCATGTTCACCTGTAAACAAGCTTTGTCGTGTATAGTGTAAAATTGCATGTATATACGTCCCAGATGAAGTCCCAACTTCACCTTTGAACGCGGTAAGTGAAGGGAGCATTATGAAAACACGGAAGAGTTTTCCTTCACTGAAACGTAGAATTCGAAAAATATAATTCACTTGGTACTTATTTAGTTTAAATCTTTATAGGATATATATCAATTAAATTATGTTTCAAATAAAAAACTAACATAAATGTTTAGTAATATGGAGGAGAGGAGGCTAAATACTTGAACATTTTAGTGATTATTCAGTTTAAAACTTGCACACATCTAGTGTTCACAACGAAGAAGTTAGCTTACTCCCGTTTTGTTTAACATAACTTTCATTTAATTCCATTGGGTTAGGCATTGAAATTCTGAAAAAAGCTATTCCAATCAAAGGAAAGTCAGTGTTATGTTGACACTGTCTTTTGCCAATACATTTTTTATTACATCAATTGTGAGTAAAAATTAGAAATAAATAAAATTATTTGGAACGTCTTTCAAATACTAAGTAATCACTCTTAATATGACCTTTGAATCGTCGGAAGCTGAAAATGTTGGCGTTATACATAGTTCATAACATATTAGCCACCATCCATATTTTCAGTCCTAGAAAACTGAAGAGTAATTTTTCTTGGGGACTGATAATTCTATGCTCTACCAATCTGAAGCCTCTTTTTTTTAAGTTTTTTTTACCATACAACAAAGTTTACTAATATTAGTTTTTACTGGATCGTTGCAGTGATTTCGGGAATTATTTGTTCTTCTGGATTATGTTGAATCTTATATGATAGAAATCTACGTCTTACATGATTATTTACTTCAAGGAGCATTCAACATTTGCACTGGTTTTAACAAGGACAACAGCAGGTATTTTGACTAACAATATATATCTTAATGTTAAACAACAAAATCTTTGCTGAGTTATAACTGACTAATTGCAAATTTTTCATATACATGATTGCAGACTAAAAATTACATATATTATAACTAGAGAGGGGTTTTATGGATATTGTATTAACTTAATAGTTCGCGTTCGCGCGCGAGACCAATAGCTCTTGAGTTCAAATATTGTGAGGCGAGGTCGTGGATGCACACTGCTGAGGAGTCTCATACTACGGCGAAACGGCCATCAAGTGCTTCCAGGTTTGCCATGAATCTAACTATTAAGTTACATGTATTAAGCTAAGTATTTCACATCAAGTTATCAACTTTTTTTCTATCACTAGCTAATACACAGTGGCTTACACATTGTGCCTTATCACGAAGTATTTATTAACTGATGTTCAATTTTTATTTATATTATTTTCACTCATTATTACGTTTATCGATTGTTAGGCAATGTATAAACATTAGTTTCATTCTTTTCAAATTCCAGAAAAGGAATTAGTTTTTGCGTGATTTCGAGTGTATTCGATTAAAATTATACATCAAACATTAGTTGATTGACTAAAATAAATAAGCTGCTAAAAGACTCTGAATATGTTGGTTTCTCGTCCTTCCAAAATCACTTAAAACGACTACTTATATGAAAAAAATGTACCTCCAAATGTAACAAAGCTTACTTAAAATATATTGAAAATTGATCGTAACTTTAAGATGCAATCTCGTTTTCATTTGAAAGTTTATATACTAAGTTAATGCAAATTTAAGAGTTTACTCATACCAGCTTGTGAGAAGAGGATTATACATTGTATTTTAGTATGTTTATTTGTGAAATGCTCAAAATATACCATGCTAGGTTATTATATGATGCTGCTAATTGGGTTACGACTACGTGACTCATGGTACCATAGGTGTAAATTTACTGAGAACATTGGCTTGATATTATGTTGAGTTATGCATATGTATTAGTGATAAGTCAAACTAGGAAAATATTGCCGCCTAGTTCTCAAATTTAATCTGTTTTGCAGATAACGTCAGCTCATAAATCAAAATATTTTCATATAATGTAAATGGCATTCGGGCATAAACATAGCTTCGGAACCATTTTACTAAAGCTATACTAATAATAGTTGATATATAAAAAAATCTTTTTCATTCTCGTACTTATAAGCTCGTAAAATACGAAGATAAATGGCTTCACATATGCGATTTTTGACCAAAGCATTAGAGCTACTAGGTTGAAGGTGATCAGATGCTTGTTCATGAGGACTTTTTTCAATTGTAGAATTTTTTTCGCTTTCAAGATCTTCATTACTGTGTTGATCTTCTTGTGATCCTAGGATGTAGCTGATAAAATACTGGTTTTCAATATATATAAAGTTTTCTGCCTGGTTTATCATATCAATGTAAGCATTTAGAACCGACTTTTCTAATCCAATTTGTTCTTTGGTTTCATCGAGATCAATGTTATTTTTGTACCGACTAGGCAAGTTTTGATGAAATAATCTGCGGAAAGCTTTACGGAAACCTTTTTTATCTCCCGATTGAACTCCTAACGACCAGTTAGCAACACTTCGCAGAGCTTGTACAGTACACACTGCAGATTGCCTTGGGTCTACAAGGATCGTTGACAATTTTGTTTCAGTCCATGGAGAACATGGGTGTGATGGTAACAATCCAGGTACGAGACGTTGAAAAATCCGTTTTCCACTTCCTTTTGGTGCAGACCTTATTTTCCTGAACTGTAAGAAAATAGTTCAAATAAATAATTCAAAGGATTTACTAAGTGACAAAAACATGGAAAAACGTTTAGATAATAAACTTTTGCAAAACTATAACTGGCTTTAAATTAAGATATTCGAGAAGTTCACGAATTACAACCACCGAAGATTTTGTACAACTCTGTTTCGTACACTAACGACTTGATCTATTCGGTGATACAATCAAAATATAAAATAAAATGGACAGAATCTTAAAAAAATATTAGATTGTATAGTTCTTATCACAACCCAGTCGAATACTTTTTCCGTACAAGCTTGAACAGTAAATGTGTCATTGGTAGTTTTCTTGAATTATAATTTACGATTTCTCATATGACCAGTGTGATGAGAGTTTTATTGATGTATGCTTGCTAGATACCATGTATTTATCTGTTTATTACTAGCCTAATCAACTGTTTTGTGATTCTATGATTTATTCAGCAGACCCAACATTAATTTTGACTAGTATGCCAATTTAGAAAAGCACATATACTAACCGCTCTTATTGTGTTGCTGTTCATATGATCGTGCAGAATATGCTCATTTTAAACACATGTATTTTTAACTTCAATATGGCAATTTTATCAACAGTTTAAGTCGAAGAACATATGCTAAGTTATTCAGAATATACGTTTCATTAATATCATTATTGATGGAGTTAAATGTGGTTAATCATTAATTGAAAAAAATTCACTGATAAGATAAATGTAACGCGTTTTGACTAGCAACAAATTGAAGTATTTGTTCATTAAAAGGCTTTTGAGTCTAGTTGAAAAAAATATACAAATATTCAGCTTGAGCTAATAATAGTAAATCATTATTACAATGGTACTAAAATGTCAACATACTGGAACAAAATGAATGGGATTATAACACTTCTTTACTCAATGAAAATACATTCATTACGCTTATTTGAAATGGTAGAAATGAATTTTAGTATCTTTCAGTCGATGATCACTAATATTATATGTACAGCTCAATAATTTTATCAAATTGAAATGTTTTACTAAAATCAAAAACTTCATACAATGATACTTATTAAACAGTTCGAATTCGCTAATCTCAAGACGGTATTCCATATTTATATATTTTCTGAGGAAGTGCACATACCGGTTTTTGACACTCAAATATCTTGAATTTAGCATGAATAATTTGGAGCATTACCACTGTCATATTGTCTAAGTTTATGGTTCAGGCAAACCCTTCAACTAGTAACAGTTCATTTAAGATTGCAGGTACTTATCGTAAATCAGTTTCAATCATAGTGAAATTTACATCGAGAAATTAGAAAAAAAATACTAATATGTAAAGCTTGCAATTTATTATAGATGATATGCAAATATTTACTCAGTTCACCAGTTCGTAGTTTCTGAACATACCCCTATGAATATAATTTTTTTATTGAGTTCTATTAAAAACTCTATCAAGAGTTTTCTAGAACAAAATCGTTTTAAAAAACCTTTTTCAACAAAATTGTATAAAGTGATGACTTTTTTTCTTCTGTTATTTAATCAGAATTTTAATTCGTAAAATGCCAATGTAATGTGTTTTATGTCCATAGTAATATCGCTAAAAATATTCGAAGCAATAGAGAAGTTTTTAATTAGCCGATGTACGTACGCATGTAGATTATTGATCTGTGAAATAAAGATGCACTCAAAGATACCTTATACTTATTGTACAAAGAAAAATAAACTAGAAATCAATGTGATTTATATAAATTGTTTATCATCTACATACATTTAAATACCATACAATAATCCATCATAAGTAATGTGATTGTTAAATGGAATTAAAGAAATAATATTTAACTCATATCAGTTAAATATAACTAATTAATTAATTACGAATTTAAGATGATTTCAACCAATTCATCTATTCTAATCAAAATTGAGTATAAAGGTAATATAATGTAATGAAACATTTGGAAAACAACTGTGAGGTAAATTAGTTTCCAACAAAAATATGATTACAATCAGTTTTTCTTCTAAATTTAACTAATACTGTAAAGCTATTACAAAATTTGTTATGATTTTTTAATGACTTTTAAATAACAAAATTATTTACTACTATCATTTGAAAATATCCAATGTTCAAACATAACTATTCATGTGAAATAGTTATCAACGAACATATGAAATAAAAAATTTTATGATCATAAAATGAAAATAATATTCATCGACTAATATAAGTATAATCAAATTAAATCAATCATAAATGAGCATGGATTTGGAAAATAAAACCCAAATATTCGCATATCATTCAACAGGGTATTGTTAAACAAAATGAAGGCCTCCGTAGATGCCCAACTTCGAGACCAACAGGCTGGATTCCGTAAAGATCGATCGTGTATAGACCGAATCGGAACATCACGGATCATTGTGGAACAATCAATTGAATGGAATTCATCGCTCTACATCAACTTCATTGACTACGAGAAAGCATTTGATAGCGTGGACAGAACAACACTACGGAAGCTTCTTCGACACTACGGTGTGCCTCAGAAGATAGTCAATATCATACGGAATTCATATGATGGATTAAACTGCAAAATTGTGCATGGAGGACAGTTGACAAAGTCGTTCGAGGTAAAGACCGGTGTCAGGCAAGGTTGCTTACTCTCACCCTTTCTCTTTCTCCTCGTGATCGACTGGATCATGAAGACGTCAACATCTGGAGGGAAGCACGGGATACATTGTACATCTAGGATGCAGTTGGACGATCTGGACTTCGCAGATGATCTGGCTCTAATATCGCAAACGCAACAACAAATGCAGGAGAAGACCACCAGTGTAGCAGCAGCCTCAGCAGCAGTAGGTCTCAATATACACAAAGGGAAGAGTAAGGTTCTCCTATACAACACAGCATGCACCGATCCAATCACACTTGACGGTGAAGATTTGGAAGATGTAAAAACCTTTACATATGTGGGCATCATCATCATGATGTATTTATTAATAGCTGTTTACGCAAAATACTTCAGATCCGTTGGTAAGACACTGTCAACAAAAATCTACTATGGGAGAGAACAAACTAGATTCCAGCGGACGAAGAAATAAGGAAGAAGTGCTGGAAGTGGATAGGTCACACATTGAGGAAAGCACCGAACTGCGGAGTCCTCAAGGCCAAAGGAAAAGAGGAAGACCAAAGAACACATTACGCTGAGAAATGGAAATAGACATGAAAAAGATGAACAAGAATTGGATGGAATTAGGAAAGGAGGCTCAGGACAGAGTGGGTTGGAGAATGCTGGTCGGCGGTCTATACTCCATTGGGAGTAACAGGAGTAATTAAGTAAGTAAGCATTCACGCATTAATATGCAAACATGGAAAAAATATTTGTTTGCATTATAATATTTATTATAATAACTCACTATAATAATATCTTTTCATCTAAGGAGTTCACTTCTTTTTTTTAAATCTTCTGATACCAATGGTATTTTATTGATTAAATGATAATATAATGTGAATATTTTTGCATAGTTTTAGGTTATCTTTAATGTACTGAAAAGTATACTTGTGTAACAACCTAAAGTAGACACTTAACGCATTGAAAAAAAACTGGCAAAAACGTTAAAGTACCATAAAGATATTTACTTAAGGTTTATTATTTTTTTAATCCAAATTAATGAATAACATATTATTCTAAGATAATTATATCTTAAGTAGTACACAATTTTGCTGAATCTAAGTAATATGGTATAACTTACTCGTATTTGATTCCAGCGTTGAATAAAGTGTCTAGATATATCACAGGCAGCAGTACCAACAAGCACACAGCCAACATCATGCCATGGCATACGTGGAACGCATGTTCTATCTACTAAATCTGCAAATGAAAATACCAAGTAAAATAAGTTTATTGTTAATTTTAAAAGAATAATAAATATTTGTTTCTTTATTTATGTGATGACGTGTTTCTCATTGGTAAAAATAGTTAACTGAATTCTCATGTAAACGTCAGATATGTCATATTCATAAATAACATTAGTTGATAATGTGGTTTGAAATAAATGTATTGTACATCGATTAAGCTCTAACTTTTAATCAAAAACATTGTTGGTTAAGTTAAAAAGGTTATATATAAAGAAAGAATACAAAGTAATACGTTCTGAGTTGATGAGTTCTAGTCATAGGTAACACTGTTCGTGAAAATTGTAGTAGGAAATGTTGTGTTATAGCTATTGTGATGATAATAATGATAATAACAATAATTAGTAAAGACATTATACAAAGTGTAAAAAAATTTGATAAAAGGAGAGGGGTAATTATATAATCCATTGTCAATTACACGAAATAGAATGGCAATGTTTAGTAAATAAGTTACGCCATTTCCTACCTATACCAGCAGTTCCAAGACTGAATTCCATATCAGATAAAACGTCATGACATACAGCTCTGTAGCATAATACGCAACGAAATAACCAAACAAATTACTGTATTCGAAGAACTTAAAACTGAGCAACACAAATAATACTTTACCTAGTATTGACAGCTATTATGCAAACATGAGTCATTGATTGATTTCATAAGAGTGCCTCGAAAACGAGGCCAGCAAATTCTGGATCAGAAAACAACCTAAGCCTACATACATACGTAGGTCTGTTAACCTTAATGCAAGAGGGTAAGCCATACACCAGTAGTTGTCATCCAACTCCGTCCTGGACAATCCTTTCCAGTTCTTCCAGATCCTATTCATTCTAATTTTCGATGCAATCTGTTCGTCAATCTTCCTCCTTTCCGTTTACCTTCATGACTCCGAGTCAGGGCTTTCCTCGTGATTCAACTGTATGATTTCCTCAATGTATGTCATGTCCACCTCCAGTGTCTTTTCCCAATTCCCTCTTCACTTGGAAGTTGTTTTGTTCTCTACCACAGTAGTTCGTCGCTGATGGTATCCGACCAACGGACATTCGGTATCTTACGAAGACAATTGTTTATGAATACCTGTACTTTCTTGATGACGGTTGTGGTAGTTCCCGAAGTTTCAGCTCCGTACAGCAGAACTGTCTTTACGTTTGTATTGAAGATTCTCACTTTGATATTGGTTGACAGTGGTTTTGAATTCCATATATTTTTCAACTGTAGGAGTGCGGCTGTTGCTTTGCCAATCCTCACCTGCACACTTGCATCGGATCCTCCTTGTTCATAGATGGTGCTACCCAGATACGTGATAATTTCCACCTCTTCCAGAGCTCCTCCATCAAGTGAGATTGGGTTGGTGTCCTGTGTGTTGTATTTGAGGATGTTGCTTTTTGCCTTGTGTATGTTGAGGTCTATTACTGCAGAGGCTGCTACTAAACTGGTTGTCTTCATCTGCATTTGTTCGTGTGTATGGAATAGAAGAGCTAGGACATCTGCAAAGTCCGAATCGTCTAGTTGCATCCAGGTTGTCCATTGTATTCCGTGCCTCCCCTTGGATGTGGAGGTCTTCATAATCCAGTTTGCGAAAAAATTTTCTAAGTTGGGTTGCAAGGTCATATGTTAAGGATGTATAATGATCGTTTGTCAAAACATACATACAATAGTACACTTTCAAGGGATTTTGGCGGAACTGTCAAAAAATGTTTAAAATATAGACGAATGTTTAGATACAAATCATTTAGGGAAACACCATTCAACTGAAAACTATGAAGACTGTGATTATGATCCACTAACAGAATGATCATTTATGGACGTAAGTAGTTACTTGAGGTTTCTAATCGTCGTTTTAGTGATCTAATAACTGATTCTGAAATAAATTTGAGAAAATTATTCAAGGACACAATTATAAGACAAAATTTGGAGTTGAGGAAACTATTTGACGGCAAGACAGTTGAACAGGATAACTTTTGATGACTTTCAGGAATATTTTGAACAACAGAAGGGAGAATGACACGAATCTATACAATTAATAAGTGGTATTTAAAAGGGTATAATGTTAATTTATAACACTTTTATGGCCCCATTTTGAATACTTATCGGACAAACAATGTATAACGAGGATTAACACAAAAGTAGGTCGAAAAAGAAATATAAGCTACCATCGCACGGCGTGGTACAAATACTTTATTGAATATGGATCTGAACATACACAGGTAAAGTTCCCAATGTTGTCAGTCTCTGGTGTTTGATAATACAATGTGATGTGTTTTTCGTTATTCGATAAATTTTGGTTGATTTGTGAACTTACAATTACTTTCAATACCTAAAAGTTTGTTTCTTCTTTATCGAATTCCATCAAATTTAAATTATTGTACTGCCTTCTAAGTTACTCCTTTGTTTGCTAAACTTTTTGTCCAGATTGAAAGAATACCACGAATCTGGGAAACAGTAACCACTAGAAACTATAGTATCTTTTTAATCATTTAAAGTACATTATAAGCAAATTGTAGGAAAATTTGTCATAAGATAAACTAGTACCTCCACTTAATCGGCACTAAAGACTTCAAAAAGTGACGCTGTTTACTATATGATTAATCCACTGATGTGAGACTGTATGTGAGATAAGAAATTGATAAGAAATAAATTGTGAATAGTTATTTAGTAGTATAATTGGAGCTAGTAAGTCAAACAAAGTCTTATGGTAAAATAAATATAAATATGTAGGATCGTAGACGCGCATTTCTGAGAATTACCATAGTAGGATGAAATGGTTGTCCAGTGCTTCCAGTTTTTCACTAGTGAACTAGCTTATATCGACTTGTAAATTTAGCTGTTAAAATACTACAATCTCTACAAATATCCATACTCATACATAATCTTGTTACTCAATAGTTGTACAATATGTATATAATATGATATAATAACAGTCTAGAAATAACTTCCGAGTCGTACGATTGATTCAATCTTTTTTGGATACAACATGACCTGAAAATGGTAGGGTTTGGAGATTAAAATTTGGTTTCTCTGACTATTTAATCATGATAAGTGAACTGTAGGATACACATTTTAAAGTATAGAAAACAAAACCGACAAACTGATCTACATTATTCTGAATATGTTTCAAGTATAGAAAACTAAATTCCAGAGATAATGATTGAGGGAAATATAGTACTTCGAAGTCAATCGTATGTATAATAAATTTTATTACTAACCCAATGCTGGATGCTCTTTGGCAGTTGGTTCAACTAAACTCCAGTTGACATAATCTTGTCCAATCCAAGTGCATCTTTGACCGGCATGTGAAAGCTCTTCTAGCGAGGCCAATTCTCTTTAAATTAATGAAAACAATTTTGTATGATAAAAATCTGGATTATGATGATAATAGAGACATCTGAGTATTAATTAAATGAGATTTAAATATACGCAGTAGACTATGAAAAATCTATGATCTCGTTAAGGGAGAGAGCTTTGATAATGGAACGTGTTTCTCAATGGAAGAGAAATCTAGTCTATTTTTCACTTGATTGTCAAATAACTAGTAGTTAAAAGAAATTAGATTTTAATTAAGGATATTTATTAATGAATAACTAATTAATCAGTCAAACAACATTATGGAGTAAGACATCCACTATCCTACTCCCACCTATTTCTTCCTTCCGGAGGTTCACTGGATTATGAAGACCTCCACATCCAAGGGGAGGCACGGAATACAATGGACAACCTGGATGCAACTAGACGATTCGGACTTTGCAGATGTCCTAGCTCTTCTATTCCATACACACGAACAAATGCAGATGAAGACAACCAGTTTAGTAGCAGCCTCTGCAGTAATAGACCTCAACATACACAAGGCAAAAAGCAACATCCTCAAATACAACACACAGGACACCAACCCAATCTCACTTGATGGAGGAGCTCTGGAAGAGGTGGAAATTATCACGTATCTGGGTAGCACCATCTATGAACAAGGAGGATCCGATGCAAGTGTGCAGGTGAGGATTGGCAAAGCAACAGCCGCACTCCTACAGTTGAAAAATATATGGAATTCAAAACCACTGTCAACCAATATCAAAGTGAGAATCTTCAATACAAACGTAAAGACAGTTCTGCTGTACGGAGCTGAAACTTCGGGAACTACCACAACCGTCATCAAGAAAGTACAGGTATTCATAAACAATTGTCTTCGTAAGATACCGAATGTCCGTTGGTCGGATACCATCAGCGACGAACTACTGTGGTAGAGAACAAAACAACTTCCAAGTGAAGAGGGAATTGGGAAAAGACACTGGAGGTGGACATGACAGACATTGAGGAAATCATACAGTTGAATCACGAGGAAAGCCCTGACTCGGAGTCATGAAGGTAAACGGAAAGGAGGAAGATTGACGAACAGATTGCGTCGAGAATTAGAATGAATAGGATTTGGAAGAACTGGAAAGGATTGTCCAGGACGGAGTTGGACGACGACTACTGGTTGATGGCACAGGCTTCTCTATGAGGTGTAACTGGCATAATTAACTCGCTAACTACCTAATTAAATAAGTTGTTTAAATTGAATAACCGTAACGTTGTTAAATAAATGATATCATCAGAATGGATGTTTGTGGTGATTATTGTACTTTTATGAATTTAGTTCATGAGTCGATTTGAGCTAGATCACCATGTTAAAACTTGAACTGCAGTACGGCTGTTTCCACCTTGTTTGGGAGTCTTCAAAAGCGCGCTCACACCATCCGTTCTAATGTACTCGAACCTAGAACCTAAGGTCTAACTCGCAAGTGCTTAATCTCTAGAGCACTGAGCTTGAATCGAAGGGTGTTAATTTCTAACTTCAATCGCTGGGGGCCGGCGTAGTGTTCTCAAACGTTAAGTGTTCTCTTGCGGACCTTAGGTACTGGGTTTGAGTACAGTATGAGATATCTTGTGTCAGCACATCTGAAGAGTCCCATATTGCAGGACGAAACGGCCATTCAGTGCTTCCACGTTATCTATGATGGTCTGGTTTAAATCGGCTCATGAATTCAATCATTAAGATTACTAAATTGTCTGTTTAATCTCATTGCTAGAAACATTGCGTTACTAAAAAATACAAAGTACTATATAGTATATTAAATTTTTTACTTATTTCAAAATTGAATAACACATCAAACTCAATCAAAACGTTTTAGATATTCTTGCTAAACATAATTTTATTTGCACATGCATTCAAATAATTCAAATGAAACATTTAAGCCAGTAATAAAAATTATATGATGTTTGAAAGATCAGTTTTCAGTTTTCCCCGAGTTGTATTTTAGGACTTATGTCCTTTAGATTTTTGATGTCTAGTAAGCAATATCGTTTCACAGTAATTTTACCACTTAACTTTCAAAGTAAACATTTTTAAAGTTCTGCTTTATTATTTTGAAGGATTATTACAATTTAACATTTCAGTATGATGTGTGTTTAAATTAAAAAATAAACACTCGGCTTTACTCACAGTAAAGACATCAGCAAATATTCTTAAAGGGTAATTATTAAAATGCTAAGAGAGTCTAATGATTATTTTTGATATACCTACATTTGTTTTAAGGATCTATGGAACCGTAAAAGTATTCTCTTGTTAATGAGAAAAACATTTTAAAGTTGTTTTATGAAAGCAGCTTGCACTAGTTGTATTTAAAATTTATACATAATGATAATTTTGGTATTTTCACCATAACTATAAAAACGTGCATAGAACACCACCTATTAAATGTTTTTTTCAGCCTATCGGAGATAAATAACAACAATCAATTCATAATTCATTAAAATTTAATATAAACACTCCAGTTGAGACTATAATTTATTGGCAACCTTTGAGCAACGCCAAAGTGATATTGAGAAAATTCACCTAAATACTAGGGTCTAAAGGGGACTACCAGTTCGTGTGAGAAATCAGAAGTTGGAAATTAAAATCAGGGTTTTGAGATGGTGGAGAAGATTTGTAGCTCAGATGGATGATTTTGATAACCTATCAACATCGAGGTCTACAAGAAAAGCTGTGAGCTATATATGGAGAAATTCGAACACTTCACTTCTGGATAAAGTTTGGGCTGATGATGTCGTTCAGAATAACGATGGAAGGTCTACGACCAAACCATACAGCTCAGAGAACAAAACTCCATTAGAATCAGGGTTTTCCTCACGAAGTGACATCAGCTATAACAGTGAAATGATATTTCACAATATGGATACAGGGATTTCATGACACAACACATGACTCTCTGTCTTAAATCTGATTGCTTAGTCAATTAATTTTAGTCACGCCACATCCCATCTTACTGACTTGTAATATTGTTCAATATTTCTACCTAAAGCATAAATTAGTGATTAATAATAAAAATGACATTTACGGTTCTTGACCTTTTTAAACTTTACTGGACTGACAAAAAACTCGTAATTATAATATCGACAGGTTATAAAAATTGGTGTTGAGATTTCGTAAGCTAAACTTGATGGTAAGGAATAGATTTCTGTCCTTATTAAGAAGTTAGGATGCATAAATATTAGTGATGGACTAAGCATAAAACGTTTGGTTTTTACAGTTTATTATTAAGTGTTAACAACTTTACTAATGCTTAGTAACATTCTTGTTTTCAAAATATCTGGCTTAAACAAAAGGCAACTAGAAATGAGATGTACATAAAAACCAATCTTTTATCATTTACATTCATTCAATTACAAGTCATATGACTAGAATCAACATTGCTAACTACGTGAGCATGTCTTTCGTAATAGAATTATGAAGTACAAACCAATTGCTTATAGTAGGATGCTTATAAAAGCAATCAAAATAAATCTGTTGTAATGAAGAATTCAAGAGTTTCTGACAGTGATCAGATATTAATTTCTATAGATTTTGATTGATTGCATGTATATTGACCAATTATTTAATGACACACTTTATGATCCGTCGTTAATAGTAATATACTTGATTATTTCAAATTGCAACAAAATACTCAGCCTTTTAACAGTTTTAGTAAAAATAATTGATAATCGTTAAATTCATTATAATTACGAAGAGAACAGTAGGGAGAATAATGTCAGTAGGACAGTAAGAATCAGCGATGTAGCAGTAGTCGATTACAAAGAAGTAACAACTAGAGTTAATTTAATAGGAGAGAAAAAAAAGAGTTAGAAGGCTGAAACGAGGTTAAGTTAATCAAATGAGCACTTGCAGCATGAAAGTTTATTCACGGTGTCAGGTGCAAAAACAATTTAACATGTATTACATTAATAATAAAGATTTGTTATTTACATATAATATTTAAATCAATAAATGACTAAATGATTTGTATTGGCGACCGGGCTACCGAAGATAGTGAAGGTTAGAAATATTTGACTAGCTAAGACGTCAAGATATAGCATTACAGTCAATGAACTTATTGATTATCCTGGAGCCTGGTGGTTTGAATCTAATCACATAACACGTTTCTCCAAAATCTCAGTCATTAATACCTTACTGAAGAATTTCTTAATGTCGTTATCTGCGTAAATTTAGATGTTACTTATATTTCTTCAATTGCTTAAAAATTATTAAACCTAAACATTCAGGAAGAGATTCACATATTATTCAGAACACAATGCTTGTTTCTATACTGAAATTCTTATCTTCTAGGACCAAAAATGTCAGTGATTATTTACAATACTGCATTCTTGAAATCACCAAGAAAAAACTTAAGAAGTCACTGGATGAGTTTTATAAAATATTTGCTTCAAGAATATGTTTAAATAACAAAAATGGAGAGAATGGAAATAAATCTCTTCTCAAATTAGTAAACCATATGCATTTCTAAGTACACTTTGCTGTAAAATCATGGGCACTGTTAGGACTGTAATTGATTATCTTAAACGAATAATACGTATCGCTTGAGTTATAATTGCTGTTTGTATTTCCAGTACTATTTGTTAACTTGAAATACATCATTTATCAGACATTGTGATTCAACAAAGCATAAAAGAACGTTACTAAAGTATCCTTAGCATGTAATAAAAATATTAATTGAGGTCAAATTCATTCTATAGGTTGTAGTCCTATTTCATATAACAGGCAACTATTTCTCACTTAAAAACATTTTAATACGGTTAATCAATTAAATTTATAAATGACTGGACTGTAATGGATCGATTATGAGTCTGTTGAATTTCTTTATATGTAGTAGTCTTACTAGATAAATCATCTTTCTGTTTTACTATATACAACTCAATCGATATGGAATGTAAAGAATAAACGTAAGCATTTTAATAACTAATGCTGAAGAGTGAAGAACAGAAAAAGTCATAATGGCACTTGTGATAAAGGCCGACATGTAATTCATTACGTACATTATCTAAGTGAATATTAGATTTATTCAACTATATCACTATCGAACAGGTAATCAATAAATCGTAATGCCACCGGATTTCGATCTTGTAAAGTTGCATATTTGGAAGTGAAACATCAGACTAAACTGAAACTGATTTTATTTCAAGATGTATCATTAACTGAAGCTGAGAACAATGTATTTCACATTGATTATAAGTTTAAAAATACCACTTAAATTAATAAACCTTTATTGAACTACTGTTCAAGTATTTAACACTTTTCTTGGATTCCTCGTGAGCACTTATTTTTGGCTTTGGTCTTAAAACCAGGAGTTTTATCTACCAGGTATATCATGCTATAACTTAGGTAATATAATCAAATCATAAGAACGATTCCGTTACGAAGCTTCCATTATTCACTAATAATTTTATTAACTATATTATTTATTAACACTAGCTTATTAGTGAAATATTCAGCAATAAACATCGCTTGTAAATTTGTTGAAGAATCTGAAAAGCGGTTGGTTCTGACTTTCAACACCCAGAGGTACTCATGATCCGAATTGCTAGTTAATCGATTTGACGTATCAGGTAAAGGATGTAAATCAAAGCCTATTAACACAGACATTGCAGCCAAAAATAATTATATTTCTTAATCGATTTGTAATGCCTTGGAAAGAATAAAATAGTTGCTTCAATCCTAAAATTATAGAAATACATTTTTCTTGACATTAGGAAAATCAGGAAACGACCGCCAGAAATTCAAATATAAAAAGAAGCAGTGCAAACAACTGTTCTGCCTTTCTCAGGAACCAAAACACAGATATGCATATAGGCGTCTGGATATAATGTAGGGTATTGTTGGCTAGGATATAAAAACGAGTCTTAAACCGTTCAGTATGTGTTTTGCATCTACATAACAACGCATGTTAATTACTTACATACTAACGCCTGTTACACCTCATAGAGAAGCCTGTGCCATCAACCAGTAGTCGTCGTCCAACTCCGTCCTGGACAATCCTTTCCAGTTCTTCCAGATCCTATTCATTCTAATTTTCGATGCAATCTGTTCGTCAATCTTCCTCCTTTCCGTTTACCTTCATGACTCCGAGTCAGGGCTTTCCTCGTGATTCAACTGTATGATTTCCTCAATGTATGTCGTGTCCACCTCCAGTGTCTTTTCCCAATTCCCTCTTCACTTGGAAGTTGTTTTGTTCTCTACCACAGTAGTTCGTCGCTGATGGTATCCGACCAACGGACATTCGGTATCTTACGAAGACAATTGTTTATGAATACCTGTACTTTCTTGATGACGGTTGTGGTAGTTCCCGAAGTTTCAGCTCCGTACAGCAGAACTGTCTTTACGTTTGTATTGAAGATTCTCACTTTGATATTGGTTGACAGTGGTTTTGAATTCCATATATTTTTCAACTGTAGGAGTGCGGCTGTTGCTTTGCCAATCCTCACCTGCACACTTGCATCGGATCCTCCTTGTTCATAGATGGTGCTACCCAGATACGTGATAATTTCCACCTCTTCCAGAGCTCCTCCATCAAGTGAGATTGGGTTGGTGTCCTGTGTGTTGTATTTGAGGATGTTGCTTTTTGCCTTGTGTATGTTGAGGTCTATTACTGCAGAGGCTGCTACTAAACTGGTTGTCTTCATCTGCATTTGTTCGTGTGTATGGAATAGAAGAGCTAGGACATCTGCAAAGTCCGAATCGTCTAGTTGCATCCAGGTTGTCCATTGTATTCCGTGCCTCCCCTTGGATGTGGAGGTCTTCATAATCCAGTTTGCGAAAAAATTTTCTAAGTTGGGTTGCAAGGTCATATGTTAAGGATGTATAATGATCGTTTGTCAAAACATACATACAATAGTACACTTTCAAGGGATTTTGGCGGAACTGTCAAAAAATGTTTAAAATATAGACGAATGTTTAGATACAAATCATTTAGGGAAACACCATTCAACTGAAAACTATGAAGACTGTGATTATGATCCACTAACAGAATGATCATTTATGGACGTAAGTAGTTACTTGAGGTTTCTAATCGTCGTTTTAGTGATCTAATAACTGATTCTGAAATAAATTTGAGAAAATTATTCAAGGACACAATTATAAGACAAAATTTGGAGTTGAGGAAACTATTTGACGGCAAGACAGTTGAACAGGATAACTTTTGATGACTTTCAGGAATATTTTGAACAACAGAAGGGAGAATGACACGAATCTATACAATTAATAAGTGGTATTTAAAAGGGTATAATGTTAATTTATAACACTTTTATGGCCCCATTTTGAATACTTATCGGACAAACAATGTATAACGAGGATTAACACAAAAGTAGGTCGAAAAAGAAATATAAGCTACCATCGCACGGCGTGGTACAAATACTTTATTGAATATGGATCTGAACATACACAGGTAAAGTTCCCAATGTTGTCAGTCTCTGGTGTTTGATAATACAATGTGATGTGTTTTTCGTTATTCGATAAATTTTGGTTGATTTGTGAACTTACAATTACTTTCAATACCTAAAAGTTTGTTTCTTCTTTATCGAATTCCATCAAATTTAAATTATTGTACTGCCTTCTAAGTTACTCCTTTGTTTGCTAAACTTTTTGTCCAGATTGAAAGAATACCACGAATCTGGGAAACAGTAACCACTAGAAACTATAGTATCTTTTTAATCATTTAAAGTACATTATAAGCAAATTGTAGGAAAATTTGTCATAAGATAAACTAGTACCTCCACTTAATCGGCACTAAAGACTTCAAAAAGTGACGCTGTCGACTATTTGGATAATCTACTGATTCAGATTTATTACTGCTACAATTTATTAGCCTGCATTCACAACAATCTGTGGGGTCTCTGAGTATGGAAGTAAGGAGGACTGCATGAATTATCTAATTCATTTATGTTAAGAACGTAAAATGTATTATGAATATTAATGCATTGTGGTACGGTAAATTTTGTAAATTCTTAAAATGAGTAATGTAGACCACTGAATTTCAACAATGTGAACTAAATTTAACACGCTTTCTGTAAAACCTTAACTCCGAGATCCGATCCCTGGTCAAACTAATTAGAGCTGCCATAATAATACAAAACTCCTGTTGAGTCTTACGTATTTTTAATGGGTCTTTGACTTATATCAAGATCTGAAAAATGAAATACATCTGAAAATATCTTTATTGCTGCTCTGCAGATTATATGACGGTCTCAAATACGAATGGTATTCAATTTCTGATTTTCTGGTGTATCATGAGTACGGTAATATATTTACTTTAACTCCTTTCCTGTCATTTAATAGAAATGAATGTACGATCATTGTAGTTCTGTGTTTAAAACAGTCTGTATGTTAATCACTAAAGTAAATGAGAAACGTACTTGCGTATCATAACATTTGTTGTAGCATCGTCTTCATAAGATGGATTATCATAAACTAAATGCGTATCATTATCATAATTTCCCCATTCTGACTCACAGTAAGCAGGACTCATTTGAGCATTCAAAACTCTTAAACTTTCTTTCTTATCCAATGCCATTTGATACATAATAGAAAGCATTGCATCTCCTGCACGTTGAATCTATTTGAAGAACAATGGAATAAAGAAACTATATTAGATTTTGTTCAATATGTTTCGAATAAATAAGAGAGTAAATTCACTGGAGCATATATTAAAACTATGAAATGAAATTTTCAATTACATTGTGAAAACTCTTAAGATAAATATCTAGAACTATGAATTAATAAAATCAATTATTTTTAACAATCAACAATTCAGGTATTATGTTTTACTGCAACTTTTAAAAAAGTAAAGAATAAACTCAATATTATTGCATAAAACTGAAATTTTCGTTTACAGAACTGATTACATTTGTCTACCAAAATATTTCTACACAATAAATGTATTAATATGTGCATTATTTTTTGAATTAGTAAGATTTCATTGCTACAAATCTAACTTTAATAAAACAGAACTTTTATTCTAGCTACGTAAGTTAAAAATTAATCAACATTTCTATACAAACATATTTGGTTGAGTCGTTACAAAGTAAATATAAATGGATCATTATTATAAATTAATCAATATGTAACAAATAATTCTCATTAAAGTTTGTTTAAATAACTGAAGAGATGCTATTGAAAAATTCTAAGATATTTTCAAACAAGATTTAAAAGTGCCTATAAAATGTTAAAAAATCTATACAATATAGTTAGTTGACTGATAACCAAGATGTAGTTGTACAATGAAAATAACGTTCAATTATGGCGACAGTTGATTGTATAATATTTTATTAGTTTTATTAAGAATGTTACCATTAATATTTAAAATTCTATTTAATAAAATCTCTATGCAAAGTATAGAGTTTTTGTGGAAATTATAATTGTATGGAATTCAGAAATGATCAATGGAAGGACGTCGCATTACCTAGAAATCAGATTGCATATTTTAATAAGTTTTTATCAATTCTGAACAAAATAGACCGAAAGAATCTTGGCTCAACTCTTATTTTTCTAATTACGTTATTGTTAGTAAAAAACAAAAACTTATCTTCATTTAAAGCCAAAAAGCTGGCAAATGTTAACCTTTAATACCGTACTTTCTATTCACTATATAACAGTTATCTAAAGTGATATTATTTTTAAATTCGCATCCCATTTTGAATTTATCATTGTATTTTTCGCTTTTTTACTTAAGAAATTTTTCTTAAATGATCTGTCAAGCAATTTTAACAGTAAAAAGAATAAACTGTAAACAAATCACTAATTCTGTAATCCTAGCAGACAGTCAATGTTATCAGAATTAGAAAAGTTAACAAGCAATAAAGGATAAATGTATGTGATAATGGGTCTTCGAAACAAGTGATTATTTACTGTTGCGAAAACAGTCTTTAGGTTTAGAAATCTTCATGAATAACCTTTTATCTTTGACTTTTTGTTAGCTAAACTTTTTGAGTAGAAAAGTGGTTTATCATATTAGTACTACTAACTGTTTCACATTGATTTGTTCTACTGGATATTGTCGGTGGTAGTCTTCATAGTTTTCCCTACTTAATAAAGCTGTCGTTCATAAAGTCCTTGAAGCATCAGTCTTTAACTCCATTAAGAAAGTAAAGCTGCAAATAAATAACTTCTATTACCAGCAGAATGCGATTTCCAGAAATTATTAGTTATTCTTTAGAACTAATATTCGAACTATCTTATTTCTAACTTAAATGAATATGGTTGAGATAACTATAGTTATTATTTTTTGACATTGATTCTGATAATGTTACCTAGTGAGATGTAGAAAGTAACATCAGTTACTTTCTGAAGACTGAGTTAAATATTCGATAGATTTTGTGGGCTCTTGACTTCTGGTACTATTGAGATTTAATATCTAGTGACTTCAGAAGAATTCGACTTTTGCTGGGATACATGAAAGGATTTATTGTTTCTAAACATAATATTTACTTACTATTCATGATTCATATCTCAGTTCGATTCATACGATTAAAATAGGTTTCATTGTTCTTAAATACAACGAAATCGTAAAGTACAGTATTATTTCAATATGAAATGTACATAACTTCACGGAAGCTTCCGACTGATGAATTAAGTTGTTCATTCTTATTAGATAACTGGATTGATAGTTATTCATTAAAGGGAAAAAATTAATGATCAATCACGACTACACAATAATACACCGTGTATAATTCAGCAGAATGTAAATGATGTCGTAGTACTTCAAACAGTCCATGGAAAACTATTTGATAAAACTACAGATTCAACACCTGTTTTGTTTACCAATGAATTCAGCAGACGTCTCTAGTAACTCACATTGATTTTAAATCATTTTCCATGAAATTAGTTTGCATATTTAAGTAACATCATTGTCTTAACGGTTAACATAATTCTGACAGTAGTTTGGTAATTGTATTAAATTTCATTATTAAACGGCAAACGATTAATAAGGGAAAAAGAAATTTATTTGTCGACGGTTTTTAATATAAATGATCTTATTACGACCCAGCTACTCCTGCTGCTTTTTATTCTTGGACACCAGTTCACTTGAAAAGTTCCAAAATAAGAACAAGGTTGACCAAGAACGAAATTATATTCCAAATAACAAGGGTAGATGGAAGTAGGAATTACAATAAAAAAAAACGTTGTTATATCTCTAGTTTTTACACAAGACGTATCCACTAGCACTGATTGGATAAGAAATAACCAGTGTCCACCAACACAGTCCTGCACGGAACGTGCTTTAATCCAATTTATATTCCCCTAACAGTTCTACATCGACTGATATACAATTTAAACACTACTCCCCCTTATATTTTTATTTGGGGATTATAAATTAGGGTTTGATACTAGCTATTGCTTTCAATAGCTTTAAAGAAGTGCTAGGTGATATATTTATTCCACGAACATAAATTTTACATTTGTATTTGTGATTTTTGGTAGCACTATCGAAAAGGAAGCAATATGACGATCTTTAATTTAATCTTTAATTAGTATTTTGGATGAGAGGGATGAGAAAAGTTTGATAGTAATACATTCACGACTAGAAAACACAAAATGTGAATTGAAATGAATGATGTCTGCTTATCACTAACATGATTTTGTAAGAAACATAACAAGAGTAACTAATTACTAATGAAATCCCTGAATACTTACCGCATTAGTCAGTCTACGATGACGTGGCTTGGGCGTTTGGTCACAACTTGAGTTTGTCAGATCACTTTCTGAGCCAATTGTTTGCATTTCCAAGTTAACAAAATCAGAACTTTGTTTAGCTTGAGGGTGTAAAGTTCCCCTTGATCGTTTACGTAGACTTTTTATTCTCTATAAAAAGTAAACATTGTTTGAAATAACGCGATAGCTTATTTATTCGTTGAAACACAATCATGAATAAAACCTGAGTCTCCATACAGTTTTACACTTTGAACGAAATGCTTCCAAATAAACCTAATTTAATAGTTACCCACCCTCTTTGGTTATTACAATTTATTGATTTGTCAAGTGGAAAATACTGGTAATTTATGCATAAATTAAAATGTATGTGTATATTTAAGCGAAAAATAGGGTTTTAGATGGCATTGTTGTAAAGACTGCGTGAAACTCTTCTACAGAAGAAAATGACAAAATTTCTTCCGATGAAATGACTGCTACCATAAAACTCTAAGTTTCATCTATAAGTTATATTTAAATCTTCTAAAATTTATCTAGTTGACATTTCCTCATTAGTTACGTATCTGGAATAACCTAGCAGCTATAAGAATTATGAACCCTACTCGACTGATCTACTTAGATTAACTTGATTGAGAAAAGACAGGAATAAGACTAAAGATCAGTTCAATAAAATTAAAAATTCACTTCGACAATTTACTACATTTCGATAAATTCAGCTATCAATTATTTTAGTATTGGGTTTTGTTGTATTCAGATAATCACTTCACTCAGTTATGACATGTATTTAGTGTAAAATTCGTTTCAAGTTATAATACCTTAAATATAGTTTCTGATTACTCAGAAGAAAACCTGTAAATAGCACGTGTTATTTTCCATAAAATATAGGTTTCGTCAATCACGGTTCGATTCTTAATAGTTCATGGCTGGGTTGAGGGCATAATGTTCATAGTTTTCAGCTGAGCAGCAAAGACCAGGTTGTGACAGTCGCAGAGAATTACCTTCAGGACCAAGAGATAACGCAAGTAATACTATGTAACAACCTTTAGTCTAGTTACCCAGTTACCAATTTATTACACGTAAGTTCCTCCAAAACCGTAAATGAATTTGAGAATCCAGTTTATACATAAATTTCTAAATCAATTTTTGATAAAGAGATTTCTAAAAGATACCCAAACGTTTTGTACTGAGAAAAAGGAGTCTAAAACAGATCATTGACTCTGATCTTTAATACAAGACACTGATTCCACATCATCGAGATATATGATTATTGTGCCAAAATGATTGGAAGGTGTTGTGTAACAAATTGAAAATTATGTGATATTTGTATCATATCATATGAATACGTCGGTAGAGAGAAAGTCATACTCCCAAACTAAGATGCTTTTTTCAAAGCCTACTATAATAACAAAAGCATGTCATGTAATTAAAAATTGGTTTTAAAACAAATAATTTTACGTCAGAGTCGTGTGAATGACATTCGGTATAGAATTTTATTGTACGGTAATATGCAGGTGCGTTAGAATGATTCACTTAACGTGATATAATTTTATTTAACCTGTGTAGACCTAATTGTGTATTTAAAATTACAACCATAAATACGATTTCATTCCTAGTATTGAAAATCTGCTTTTTGAAATCTGATCATGACTGCCAAGTACGCCGACCACACCATCATAGACAGAATCCAATCACCACTAATAACTAGTTAAATGTGGCACTGATTACTGTGCAATGAATAATTAATGATATTAGTTTTTGATATAATACTGACAATGTGCGTTTATGTTTTCATCAGTTATTTATTTTACAGCTTCTAAAAATCAGGTATTCTTTGTGAAATTAATACTAATTCTTGTTTTGGAATTAAATTTGAAATCATTTGTTCATAATACAAGACAGCCGCAAAATATCTATATTTGGCGATCGAACCATAAAATAAAAAATAATAAGTTAAAAGAATCACTTGAATAAAAGGAAACTAAAAATAATCGACTCTAAAATGAATATACATTTCAAGGCAATTGAAACATATGCACATAAACACAATCATAGTAAGAAGCACTTTGAAGGCAAGAAAAATTTTAATTTTTAACTTTCCTGAAGGTAAATTCTTCAACTTACTCTTAATTCTGCATTGACCTCCTGAACTTTAGCAATTTTGTGAACATCCTGTAACCTAGACAAAAGATTACAATAACTGTGAAGGAGCAACATATTTTAATGCGTAATTATATTCAAGAAAGTTAATCTTTCATTTATGCTTAGTAGTACATCATGGTTTATCTGGTAAATGTACAATAAACATTGAATACACGTCATGGAGACACAGCATATTTTTTATTTTTAAGAGAAATTTCAACTAATAATTCAAGTGGACGTACGATTGATGGTTCATGATCATTCTTTGGTCAACCATTAGTAGAATCTAGGTAGCTGTCACATCATAGCTTACTACTGTTACTTTTTTCCAGCGTTTGATATCGAGAATTTTTTTATCGAATTGTGTATATTATAGTGGAACGGCCTTATTATTTTGATATAGTATTAGGATAAAGGAAACTTGGCACATTTACTAAGTTCACTGTGTTGATGAGATAATTGGTTTATGAACTTCCGGTGACTGAAATAAGTCCCTTTAGTTCCATCACAAGTCGACCTGCTACTAGTCAAACTAAATTACTGTTAACTATTATAAACACCAACCATTTTGTTAGACAAAATTTAATAAATTAAATAATTTAGCTTAGTTGACAAACATATCAATGAAAAATGTTTTAGATACTAATGAATGGTCTAAAAGAATTAAATCACTACTATTAACAAACTGTATTTAGTGGGTATAACTCCGCCTGGAGTCCCTACGGAGGCTACTGCAGGTCCCAAGCCCGGATAAAGGAGGAGGGTTGGGCATGGGGTTAGCGTCCTCATCCCGTAGAAAACTAACTCGCTAAAAAAACGCTAACCGGAAAAAATTATTCAAACCTTTTAAACTCTGCCCTGGGAGTCAGAAGGTTTTCATTTAGAAGAACTATGACGCCTCATGATGAAAGCCGAATTCCTTCGGAAGTTACGAGGCCGATGCCCCTTCTGACAACCAGAGCGACCGTTTATTTAGGTACATGGAATGTTCGTACAATGTGGGACACCGGGAGAGCCCTACAAGTTGCTGCAGAAATGAGAAGATACAACCTAGAGGTACTTGGGATCAGCGAAACACATTGGACGCAAGTTGGACAACAACGACTAACTTCAGGAGAGCTTCTGTTATACTCCGGCCATGAAGAAGAAAATGCACCACATACACAAGGAGTTACATTGATGCTGTCCAAACAAGCGCAAAATGCGCTTATAGGATGAGAATCTCATGGAACAAGGATCATCAAAGCCTCGTTCAAAACAAAAACGGAGGACATTACAATGAATATCATCCAATTCTATGCGCCTACCAACGACTACAATGAAGACGCTAAAGACCAATTCTACAATAGGCTGCAGTCAATCGTTGAGAAGTGCCAAACAAAGGACCTGACCATTCTGATGGGAGATTTCAACGCCAAGGTTGGAACGGACAACATTGGATTTGAAGACATCATGGGACGACATGGACTGGGAGAAAGAAACGAAAATGGTGAGAGATTTGCAAACCTATGTGCCTTCAATAAACTGGTCATATGCGGCACCATATTCCCACATAAACTCATTCACAAAACCACATGGACTTCACCGGAGCATACCACGTAAAACCAAATCAATCATATTTACATCAACAAAACGTTCAGGAGGACTATAGAGGACGTGAGAACCAAGAGAGGAGCCGATATAGCATCAGATCATCACTTGCTGGTCGCCAAGATGAAATTGAAACTCAAGAAGCACTGGGCAATGGGGCGGACAATATCAAAAAAGTTCAATACGGCCTTTCTTCAGGATACTAACAAACTCAACAAATTCAAGATAGTCCTCAGCAACAAGTTCCAGGCCTTTTATGATCTACTCAATGGAGAAGGAACTACTGTGGAGAGCAACTGGAAGGGGATCAAAGAGGCGATCACTTCAACATGTCATGAGGTCCTGGGTCACAAGAAGCACCATCACGAGGAATGGATCACTGTTGATACACTGGATAAGATTCAAGAAAGAAGGAACAAGAAGGCAGCAATCAATACCAGTCGAACAAGAGCAGAAAAAGCCAAGGCACAAGCTGAATACACAGTAGTAAACAAACAAGTGAAGAAGAGCATCAGAACCGACAAACGTAAATATATGGAAGATCTAGCAATGACGGTTGAAAAGGCTGAAAGAGAAGGGAACATGAGACAATTGTATGATACAACAAAGAAACTCGCTGGAAATCGCCGCAAACCAGAACGATCAGTGAAAAGCAAGGAAGGCGAGGCAATCACCAACATTGAAGAGCAACAAAACAGGTGGGTAGAACACTTCAAACAACTCTTGAATCGACCAGCTCCACTGAACCCACCCAACATCGAAGCAGCACCCACGGACCTCCCAATCAACGTTGGCCCACCAGCAATTGAAGAAATCAGCATGGCCATCAGACAAATCAAGAGTGGCAAAGCAGCAGGACCAGACAACATTCCAGCAGAGACACTAAAAGCAGACGTAGCGGCAACTGCAAGAATACTCCACATTCTCTTCAATAAGATTTGGGATGAGGAACAAGTATCAAAAGACTGAAAAGAAGGACTCCTGATCAAAATACCGAAGAAAGGCGATCTCAGCAAGTGTGATAACTACAGGGTCATCACTCTTCTCTCAATACCGGGAAAAGTCTTCAACAGAGTATTGTTAAACAGGATGAAGGACTGCGTAGACACCCAACTTCGTGACCAACAGGCAGGATTCCGTAAGGATAGATCGTGTACAGACCAAATCGCAACTCTTTGATTCATTGTGGGACAATCAATTGAATGGAATTCATCGCTCTACATCAATTCCATTGACTACGAAAAGGCATTTGATAACGTGGACAAAAAAACACTGTGGAAGCTTCTTCGATAATACGGTGTACTTGAGAAGATAGTTAATATCATACAAAGTTCATATGATGGATTACACTGCAAAATCGCGCATGGAGGACAGTTGACAAAGTCGTTCGAAGTGAAGACCGGTGTCAGGCAAGGTCGCTTACTCTCACCCTTTCTCTTTCTCCTGGTGATCGACTGGATCATGAAGACGTCAACATCTGAAGGGAAGCACGGGATACAATGGACATCTAGGATGCAGTTGGACGATCTGGACTTCGCAGATGATCTGGCCCTTCTATCCCAAACGCAACAACAAGTGCAGGAGGCGAACAGTGTAGCAGCAGCCTCAGCAGCAGTAGGTCTCAATATACACAAAGGGAAGAGCAAGGTTCTCCGATACAACACAGCATGCACCGATCCAATCACACTTGACGGTGAAGATTTGGAAGATGTAAAAACCTTTACATATTTAAGCAGCATCATTGATGAACAGGGTGGATCTGATGCAGATGTGAAGGCGCGGATTGGCAAAGCAAGAGCAGCATATTTACAACTGAGGAACATCTGGAACTCAAAACAACTGTCAACCAACACCAAGGTCAGGATTTTCAATACAATTGTCAAGACAGTTCTACTGTATGGGGCGGAAACCTGCAGAACTACGAAAGTCATCATCCAGAAGATACAGGTGTTTATTAACAGTTGTCTACGCAAACTACTTCAGACCCGTTGGCCGGACCTATTAGCAACAACGTACTGTGGGAGAGAACAAACCAGATCCCAGCGGAGGAAGAAATCAGGAAGAAGCGCTGGAAATGGATAGGACACATATTGAGGAAAGCACCCAACTGCGTCACAAGACAAGCCCTCACATGGAATCCTCAAGGCCAAAGGAGGAGAGGAATACCAACGAACACATTACGCCGAGAAATGGAAATAGACATGAAAAAGATGAACAAGGATTGGATGGAATTAGAAAAGGAGTCCCAGGACAGAGTGGGTTGGAGAATGCTGGTCGGCGGCCTATGCTCCATTGGGAGTAACAGGCGTAAGTAAGTAAGTAAGTAAGTAATTTAGTGGGTATATCCCATATCCCTTGAAGTAAACGCTTTCCTCACTCAGACGTTAGACATTAACATCCTCCACCCTTACCTAACAATTTCAGTTATTAAATAACCCTATAATTTGTTACTTGGACAAATAAAAACAGGCCATATTGATAGTTAATAATAAATGGTAAGTCTGGCTTCGGAAAATATACAATTCAGTTTTTTTAAATCCAATTCTTACAAGTCTTACAAAGATTTTAGTAAAAATGTTTTCATATACCACTGAAATATAAAGGAGCTTGATGAATTCTGATTCTCAATGGAATTCATCCCGACTGGCCAAGACAAATTACGATATTTGTGTCTTAAACAGTGCCTATTATAATTTAAATGAAGAAATATGTTTAACATTATGCTATAGGAGAGAACTTTATTCGAGTTATTTTTCCATGTAGGCATGATAAACGCCAAAATAAATTCTACTGTGGGTGTCTTTTATTTCGTGCGCCAAGCAGACTAGTTATGAATACAGAATGTGAAACTTTTTTTCAGCCACGAGAGTGGCAGTAATTCCATAAATCCCAAAATGTATTATTATCTATATCGCTTACGTATCAACACTGAAGTGGGAGTCGGTGTCGCAATAAATTAGTGATCATAGCCAATATCTCGAGTCTGTATTTATGCGGTTTATAAAACAACACACACATAGAATCTCATATATTTGAATTATTTTAGTTTGAGAACGCATAAGCATGCAGAGCTGTATATATAGCCTGTAAATATCTTTCACAAAATCGATACATTACTGAAACAATAACCCCTTCTAATTGGTATGAAATCAACTTGATTTATCAAGAATAAGTAATCCAAATAAATAAGTTAAGCTAAATCTACAAACTAACATTACATATGAAAATCATACAAAAAGACAAAGAATAAATTAATAATTTTTATGAAATTTGAAATAAATATATAATTTTATCTTTAAAACGAAATAATTTGGCATATAGATAAATATCTTTAAGATACATCTTTTGTAGCAAATATGTACAAATTACCAACACAAAACTAACTGCTTTCCTGTTACTTTAATTAAAAAAGAATGAGATATTTTTCATTACAACTGGTGCACTTGTTTCTCATGGTCGCATATACTAGTTATCTATACAAGCAAACCATATCTTGACTTTACCGTGTTGTAACAATTACCCGAAAATCCTACTCTATTACACCTCTTAGTCACACATGTTGTTTTGGGCCTTACACTGAAAATATTACAAAAATCGTATTCAGAAATGCGATTTGACATTATAAATCACAGTAAATACAACTAAATGTACAATTAAAATTAAACATGCTGCATGTTTTGAATCAGATTTCTCATTCTTGTTTCTAACGTTTCGTTCAGAGATCCTATAAATCCAAACGTCAAAATGACTGTTGACAAACAACAAGAAACTCATTGTGTAGATGATGGAAAACTCAAACTTTATTAATACCAGATTTTTCGAGTCATAAAACTAGATTTTATATGGTGTAAATGTTTTGAGAACTAGCTTCAAAAAAACCTAATTGACTGAGCAGATTTGCAGAAAACAGACTATATTTTCATGAAGTTCCAGAAATTTTTCTCATAGCTTGTTCAGTGAATTTAGTTGCTAGGAAAGACAAAGATTCAAAATGGTATCATTTAGCATCACAAACCAATCCACTTTTGCCACTCAGAAATGAAAAAAACTACTAATATAATTGGCTTGATTGAAGTGATTTTGTTGATTTATGAGCTACACCTATTCTCGACGACTTCAATACTCCCGTTGTAATTCATGATATGTTCGCTATATATAGTTAAATAGTCTCTTTGCTAGTTTCTTGAATTCGTTTCTACTGATAAACTGGGCTGATATTTCTTGAAGTTGATTTGGAGGTCATTCTTCTGAAGGATATTCACCAGGTATTTTTCTTTATTTTTTTGCGCTGAAAATGTGCTGCAGTGTGTTTTTGTTCTCTTTAATGGGGTTTGATCGCAGTTGATTTTTCGAGTTCTGAAGTTATTACTGCCGTGTGAGTTGGCTCCCGATATACTTGAGTTTTCAGTTTTTCTGTGTCGGTTATGGTAGCCAAGATATTCACGAATAATGGCTTGTTGTTCGACTAATTTTCGATTTTGAATTTTATATCATCAAAGACATTGTTGATTAGTTTGTACGTGTTTTTCATCTCTTCCGTCTTGATGATGAACATGTTGTCCACATAAAGAATACACATTTTTGCTTGATCACTGGTAAATTCGAGGCATCCAGTCTCTGAACAACAGTTTTTGCAATAAGTTCTGATATTGTTGGTCTGATTGGTGTTCCTTTCGTCTGTTGGTAGATTTTATTGTAGAATCAAAAATATGTTGTTAATCTTAAATCGATGAGTTTCCATGAACTTTGACTGCAAAGCACCATGCACTTTAGGAGATTTATGTCGATTGTGAAGAGAAGGGAAAAAGTTTCCTTTGTCAAGCTTCGTTCCGTTGCGGTGAATAAGATTTTTACGTTGAAGGATATCGTCAGTTCGTCGTCGTTGGTTTCAAACTCATTAACCTTATCCAAGAATTGTATGGAAGATTTAATGGAGTGGTTGGATGAATACACCAAATGTTTCAGTAATCTTGTAATTTCTCTGGATAAATTGGATGTGTGTATTTACACACATTCGATTGGAAAAATGTTGAGATCTTGGACAGAGGGAATTCTAAAAGCACCAAGGAATTTTTTCGAGCTTGGCACTTTGCTCAATCAGTAATCAACGAACTCACCGAAATCTATCCAATCTATCAACCAATCAGGAAAGTCATGGGTAAATATCGGACCAGGAATCAAATCAATGGGATATACTATCAACATAGAGGCAGTTAATGATAAGTTGAAGGTTAACAATAAACAATGAAGATTGAGATCGACAGGACAGGCAGTATGTCATGTGTGGTGAAATTCGAATACTTCACTTGTGTTGATGTAATTCAGAAGAATAACGAAAGCTCCACAACCATACCATCCAGCTCAGAGAACGAAACTCCTAAGCTACGTATTTCCTTTACCATTTTAATTAAGATGAGTATTTACGTACTAAGGGGCAAGGAGGACTTGACAAGGATGTAATATCATAAAAGAGATTTCATATTTTGTACATCGGTAAGTGTAGAAATACATTACAGGACAACTGTATGGATTCGTAGATCAGGTTAATGATCTTAGTGGATTTTCGTTCTTTAAGCTGAATGGTTTAATCGTGACGCCATCATTGTCCTTCTGAACATCATCAGGCCAAATCAAGGTAGCAAACAGCAGCAGAAACAAATGCAAAATTCATCCGTTAGAATGATTTATGTTGTTTTCTTTAAAAACACAAGAAGATTCCGTTTAAATATAATCAGTATGTATATTACTCTAGATAACCAAATCTTTTGAAGGACAGATAAGAATGTGATATGAAAAAGAAATTTCTGAAAAACGTTTTAAACATTTGCCTTAGCTTTAGCTGGTTATATATCTTTGCTAATGCAATTCGGCAATCTGTTAGTTTCTCAATAAATGACAAAAATATTCACAAATCTGTAAAAATTCAGTTTTTTCACAAAATCATCTGACTAATAATATGAAATTGTTGTCACATTATACAAATAAAAGGCTTAGCAATAGCTGATACTTAAGACCACTTTTCTTGTGGTATGAAAAAATGTCTGAAGATGAAAAATAAAGGCAGTTTACTACATTTTCAAATAATTTTGAGAGAATCATTTTTAAAAATTTTCCAGTAAGTTATCTATAAATGCCTACAGCATATTGTCGCTTAATCTTAAACCTACTCGATTTTTGTTAAATTATGATGAAGTTTCCATTAGAAATAGTTAACAATGAAGTTTAAACATTGTTACAATTTATGAATCATATGTTTTCTAAAGTATGAACAGATAAACTCCCCACGTAATTTTTATTACTGTTAAGTTACGAAATTAGAACATACAACTAATATAAATAGTACGCATAAAAAAAGATTTAAAAACAAAAAAAATCTCTCACCATTTCCTCTCTAATGCTGAACGAACAAGTATATTGAATACAATGTCACTCAAGAATTTTTAACTTTTTTAAACTAAGATTAAATTGATAGTACACTACATGTTCCACCTGTCTTATCAGTATCAATGAGTGGGCATAGGAAATCGGAATTTGCTGATCAATTTCTGTTGGAAAATTATTAGTGTATTAGGGGTACTGTTCTTAATTAACATTGGTAGCATGAGCTTATGTTATTTTAGAACTCAGTCTAAATAATAATAACAATTTTATTTGCTAGATAAAAGCTAAAGTTCATACTTGTTGTAGAATACATATCGAAAAATATGAGATGGCATTAAAATCATTGAAAGTATCCTAGCATAGAATGCTCTGACTCCAAAATAATTGTTTGAGCTGAATGTAGTAGCTCGAAAGCTTTTATTTTTAGTTATTTTTACATAAATAGAGGATTGGTGAACAAAAAGACAGTAATGATTATTATTCCTTTTTTGATGGTATAAGGTAAGGTAGTTTTTATAGAAAAGAAAATGTTAAAAAATATTAAAATATCATAAAAGGACATATAAATGAAGGCCAATTAAATACGTGAACTCAAGTTTATGAGGATTTGAAGTTTCAGGCAAAATAGTTCTAAGACTGAGATGAAATATTTTGCTTGAATGAAATAATAGACCGAAACCTTCCTTGATTACTACATGTAGAACGATGTGTATATCTTGTAATTTGTTTCTAATGTCTAAAATGAGCATTATGAAAGTCATATAATGTAAAATCTGACAGTTTTAAAAGATCATTGACGCAATATTTTTCTCGATTTATGAATCCAATATTTTAACAAAGATTCTTGTTAACATGAAACCGAAGAAAATTCATTTTCAAGAAATAATAGCATTAGTCATAAATTCTACGAAAAACTATTGTAAAATCCAGATTATAGGAAAGTGGTAGGACAATGATTTAAATCTATATCTCACCTGTGGTTATTGGTGTCCCATCGACCAAAGCACAGATCAATTCCACCAAGAAAAACTATTGACTGATCAACAGCGACCATTTTCTCATGATGACTCCATAAGCGTGTAGATCGTGGAGAACGATATATCTTCGTTGAGAGAAAAGATTCGAATTAAAAATGAGTGAATAAATACACGTCGTTAATCTGCCCACAAAAGTAAACCCTTGAAATAAGCTATTCATAGACGATTTGATTTTCTTGTTGATGTTACAGAGAGGGTAAAAAAGTAAATCTCTAACATTCATATACATTTAGTTTGTTTAATAAGTTTTAACGGAAATACAAGGCTTGAAGAATACATTGAATTCACTAGTCTATTTCAATCCTTCTTGATAGCTTCAAAAGTCTGAAATTACATGGAGTAACATAGTTAAAGTCAAAGTGAAAACAATCTTTATCAAGCTGTTATTAAAAATACTTGAATTTCGAAATAATTTATTGAAAATTATCATTTTTAAAAGGTCTTTGAAACCCGAAATAAAACATGATGAGATTATTTTCATGAGTTGATTAATGATAAGTGTTATAGATCGATCACGAATTGCCAACACTGATTGTACGGGATCATCATAAATAATTTAAGAAATGACAACTAGTGGATCTTGAACAGTAGGCTAAATAGTTACAAAAAGATTACTATGAACACTGAAACTAAGCTGACTGTTCGTATTTCATATTTTATACTGACAGTTTGTATCAACACTATTGTTGGATTAATCAATTATTTAAAAAAAACTACATGCTTTAGATTTTATTTTATATTTTATTAACTTATTACTAAGAGACAGAGATTCTTTTATTTATTTTTAAAAAAATATCTAACTGTAGATAAGTGGAAGTTTACTAATGATAAGTCATTTCATTTAATTTTAAATTTTATGATACTTAGCTTTTTATACAATTTTTGCTTTCACTTGGCTATGAAATTTATGTTTATTATCATATGTTATTTTCTCATAAAAACTAATAAATTATTATAAGTGACATCAAAATTTTCATAGATAAAATTTCATTAAAAAATATATAAACCTACATATATGTTAGAATGCAGAGATCGAAGCCAACGCTTTACTTTTATGCTTCGAAATTTAACGGCAAGTTCACTTTCTTTATAAAGCATTATATAGATTTTAACTCCCTGTTTCTGTGTAAAAACATTGTAGAATTAATAAAAATGGTATTTGAGTCAAAAATTACAGAAAACCTTTTTTTAAAAATAAATATTTTTGATAATTGTGTGTAAAAGATTATGATTGTAGACGTCAATATGAAAGTATTTTGTGAATGTTCACAAGTCGAATCCAATACTGTAGTGCCTGTATTATTGAGTGAGTTTTAAGAAGTAGTTTCTGCCATTCAGCTCTACAGTTAAATATTGTGACACTTTTTTTGTACTGGATGGTTATAAACATCCAGGAGCAGCAGAAACCTATTCAAACGAAGTCTCAATTCGAACTGTCCTTCTACACAAAACTACGTAGTTCAAACGATGATTTAAGACCATGTAACGTTTTTAGGATCGAATATGCAATCAGAATTCAGAGGTAGAATTAAGTTTCTGGACAAAACTAATAAAATATAGCCTTTATTATTTACAATTGAAAGTTATCATTATTGACATAGTGGTTTGTCAGAAGTTAATCTAAAATCACTTATACCTTCAACCGAATGGTGTGTAGTAAGTGAAAAACTACAAAGTGAGAACAGATTGGTTTAAATATCGAAAGACAAATAGAGTTCAAACTATTATATTTTCAACGTCAACTTTCTATATCCATTTAAGAATCTAGTAGACTAAATTTTCTATGCATTCAATAAAGGAGGTTTATAATGAGTCCGTTATTAATATCCTGATTTATATATATATTGATTACAACAATACACAAATACGATTTCTTACTTTCGAATACAAATAACTGAAAAAAGTGAGCTAACTGGCACACATTAAAAACATAGTATTAACAAAATTTGGTACAGAATGTGCTCTTTATTATCTTATTCGATTAAATAAGAACGTTTTACCAAAAATACAAGCATATTTAAAACAGCTCTTATTTTCTTATAAACACCGTAAATAAAACCTTAAATAAATAAACATAATTTCTCAGTGATACTTCAATCAAATCTTATGGTGTTTGCAAATGATGACATGAATGTAAAGCCAGTTACAAGCGCAACAATGTTGTGTGTAATCATAACTGTCTTAATACCAGTGACCCTGACATATTTTTGCACGGCACATTATCGTAAGAACTATTAATTTTGACAGCATCATTACTGCTCGTTAGCAGACAGCTTCTTAACATTGACAGGCAGCTGTTCTAAAGAATCTCAGAAGTCCTTATAAAACCTATCTAAATTACCAATTTAGTGTATAAACACATGACACGTTAACATTAGTCATATAGTTTCACATCATTTACTCACTTGAGATTAGTAAATTAAATATTTATTTTGAAAATACATATTGTAGTATAGAACACATTCATTCAGTTATAATTAACGAAAAGCCTGGAATATATATGTGTTGACCCAAAGTACCTTAACTTATTGGTACAATGAGGTGAATTTAAAAAGATTCATAATCAAAAATTGAAATAATGTGGTGGAAATGATAATAAGAGACGCTCAACATTGAGAATTTGGTTTTTTAAAACGGAATGAACAGGTATGCATGAAGAAATGCTGGAATCAAAGATTGAAAAAGACATAGTGTGAATATATCTGTGCTACTGAGATCAATTCCGAGTGGAGTTATCAAACGTCTGCAGTCACTGACATCAGTTATCTGACATTTCTCAATCAGATAGTTTATATCAGTCAACATGACTCAGACCAACAGTCAAAAGCTTTATGGACTGACGGGATGTATTGGTCTTACCACCACTAGCTTTCTTCTAACACACCACTACAAAATTAAACATGAAGCATTGAGGAAACCAGTGATTGAGCAAACGTGACATATACCCAAACAACCTTGGCCGATAGAGCTTCATAACATCATCAACCGATTTTTCGTTTTTCCTCTATGCCTAATCTTACGATTACTCAATCAGTCGTTCTACGATAACCGAATAATTTTGCAAATGTATTCGTGATCAAATACTAGTAACACAAGAAAATCTCTTACCTTCAAGGGCCATGTTTCACACACATAAAGGACTTCTGATTGATAACGTTCCTAAGTTACAAGTTGTACACATTACCAAAAGCCAACCTAACTTTACAAGTCCGTCCAGAGACCGTTAGCTCAAACCCACCAGTGATGATGAGACTTTGAAGACAATTGGAGTGTTTATCACCTTTAATTTCTTGAGTGACCATGATTCAAATCAGTCACGAAGTTACATTCTGTACTTAAAGAGAGTATGTATCTTAAACATTATTGCCTTGCCTTTCACAGCAATCAGAAAACAACATAAAATGAGTGTTTACTAAACATGATTATATTGATTGTACATTCCAAGTCGATAGGCGACCCTTGTAGTCGGAAATTGACCCCAAAAACATGAGATCTAGTTTAAGTAACCTAAGGGGTCCATTATATTTCTACCAACCATTTATTTGTTAATACCATATAATTTTTCTCCTAGACCACAGTCAGAAAATAACTTAATCAGCAAGTTTTCCTGTAAAAAAATGTCAAGAACGATCTTTCTTGGTGACCTATACTAATATTTTTTCTGTTTCGTTACGTTGAACTTCAGAATTTTTTCTAAACGAAATACTGGATGCACTAGGTGCACCCTCTAGGTGATTGTGAGTGCATAAGTCATATAACCTAATAATACCATCTTAAACTGTATGTTTATGAGGTGGTGTAATCCATACAAACCGTACCTCTTGATATGATTTCATAAATAAATAAAACACTTTTCGCTGGCTTAAAAATTGCTTGGGTTTTTAACTGAAGAGACTGGAAGCAATCAGTCTGGTCATCAGATCACTCATTAATATAAATACTTGTTTTAAATAAGTAAGATGTAAAATAAAAGAGAACTAAATGTTGTTCCTGGGTCTATATTGAAGCAGTTCGTACACAAAAAAGTCTAATTAAATTAAGAAAAACAAAGTAAAAAAGCTAACTAATAATTTATATGGAACAAGGTATTGTATTATATACGCTTATATGTCAACTTCTTCAGCAAACATCTAGCTGAAAAATAATCCCTTGAAAAGTGAATATAGTGGCATCAATATACCGTGGCTATAAAAAATATTCTTCTGCATAAGATGTACGTTTTTATTACTACTCCAATGGCGAAAGTTGTTTCGGAAAGTGGGATGTAACAGAAATGCAATATGATATTTTTCTAAACAATTTGTGAGTACGTTAGTTCCTTGTAAACAATTATACATGAGATAATAAATAGTGATAGCGTGATATAAAAGGTTATTTTAGTGCGTTCAACATCCATAACGATTTAGTGCATGCATATATTTCATTTTAGAAAGAACTATGGAAATATTACTACAGAACGGTAGTGTATGAGAGTCAGTATGTTGAAGGAAAAAATAACAAAATAAATTTAATCACTAGCCAATTTGCACGTGCATCTTGTGGAATATATCCACTATATTATGAACCTTTACGAATTTATCTCAAGACTCCATAATGAAAATTCCACGGAGGCTGGTCCACAAATTAAATCTCGCAGCTGTCTCGAGACCGGAAATGTTTCATAGCACTGACTCAAATCCGGATAATTTCAAATGAAGAATACGAATAAACTCTCCTGAAAATGTCCCCTCAAGCGTAAACTAGGTCAACTAGCTCGTCCTGTAAACAATTACAATAATTTATTCCCTCAAGAAACAATAATCATGGAGGACAACACATATTTCGGCACACTGATCATCATTACTTAAACAGTAACTTGCTGGCTAAGTACCTTATATACAATACGTGTTGTGTTCAAACGTGGGCAAATAAATGGAAAAAACAGTTGGTTTCTGAATGGTGCTGAGTTAAGAAGGCTAATGGTGATAAATTTACGATTATCAACTTAGTACAACTCCTTGAACCAGGGTCTGGAGATTCTCCAACCCATCAGTTTAATAATTTATCAAACAACGATCCTATCCATGACAAACTTTAACAAAATGAAAATTATTTGATTTTATGCTTATTATCACTTTCAAATAACAATCTAGTTAAGATGGAAATGCGGAAACTTAACAACTTACTGCCTTTGCGTGAAGCAGCATATCTAAGCGCCATGTGTTATCTCGTACTGGACGTCTAAGAAATACAGTGGGATGCATACACCAGTCAGTAATAAAAACTTCGTGTTGCGCTTGGGAAATTGCTTTAGCCACGGCTTCCATATAACAAGCCCCATCTATAAACCTTTATTTGACAGGCGAAAATAGGAAACTTGTATATTATATTATATAAAGCATCATTTGAATTGGCAGATTGAGTTTTGCACAAGAAAATGACAAATTAAATTCAAAAACTGAATAATTATGGATTGAATTACAAGCTTCACTCTTGGAGGATCTAATGTTAGATAAGGTTTTATAAATATGAACCATTATTTGTGTTAAAAACGTCTCCTCCGAATGAAGGAATATGTAATTACGAAAGTGACGTACTCGTTCACTAACGCCAGTTAACCCGCGTCGTGGAGCGCAGACTGCCCACCAGTAACCGCCGTTCAACTCGGTTCTGGACATTCATTTTTGGTTCTTTTCAGTTAGTATTCATTTTCTCTATGTCTGCTTCCACCTTTCGACGCAAACCGTTCGTCGGTCTACAACTTTTCATTCTCCCTTCAGGACTCTAAGTCATGGTTTTTTCGTGAATCAATTCCATAATTTTCTCAATGTATGTCCTAATTTTTCTTCGGTTGGAAATTGGTTTCTTCTCTATCACAGTAGTTCCTTGCTGATGGTATCCGACCAACGAACATTCGGTATCTTACGAAGACAATTCTTTATGAATACCTGTACCTTCTTGATGACGGTTGTGGTAGTTCCCGAAGTTTCAGCTCCGTACAGCAGAACTGTATTTACGTTTGTATTGAAGATTCTCACTTTGATATTGGTTGACAGTGGTTTTGAGTTCCATATGTTCTTCAACTTTAGGAGTGCAGCTGTTGCTTTGCCAATCCTCACCTGTACACCTGCATCGGATCCTCCTTGTTCATCGGTGGTGCTACCCATATACGTGATAGGAACAAAAATCAAACCAATGGGGGACACAACCGAAACAAAGAAGTAAACAATGACAAACTTAAGGTCAATAAGAACCAATCAACGTCAAGATGTACAGAACAAGCTGTGAAACACATATGGAGAAATTCGAACACTTCACTTCTATCTGAAGTTTGTGCTGATGATGTCGTTCAGAAGAACGATGAAAGCTCCACGACTAAACCATCCAGCTCAGAGAACAAAACTCAGTTGAAAGCTTCCATCTCTTCCAGAGATCCTCCATCAAGTAAGATTTGGTTGGTGTCCTCTGTGTTGAATTCGACGAATATATTCGGTTATTTTAATCTTGGTGTTCATTACAAATATATTTTCTTGAGTTTCGAGGAAAGACACTTTAATAAAAAATAGACTTTAAGTGCCAGTTTCCTGATATTCAATTGATACAATGATTTCGCGAAATTAATAGTATGAAGAGTTTAGCACAAAAAAGTAAGTTAAATCTAGAATTTACTAGCTTTTTGACCATCATTAGTGAACTCTATTCAAAAGCACTTTTCATGTCAAGTTAAAGCAGATATAAGTTTAATTGAGATCATGAACCGATCATAGTTAGACCACCACTGAAAACCCGGAAGCATCGGATGACCATCTCGTCTTAGTGTGGGATTTCCCACTAATGAGTATCCATGATTCCGCACTTAAGACCCGAACCGGAACCTTCGGTCTCGTGCAAACGTCTAACCTCTAGACCACTGACCCGCTATCTAACGGTGTTAATGTCTAACTTCAACCAATCCACGATAATGCTCAACCATTTTCAATTGTCTTTGGTGTGCAAATGCCTCACAGTCGACACGCTTGCACTCGATTGGTTACGGTTATGGTTCGCGCGCGAGACTGAAGGTCTCGGGTTCGAGTCCTGCATGCGAGACCCTGGATCCGCACTACAGTGGAATTCCATAATAGGACGAAGCGGCCATCCTGTGCTTCCGGGTTTTCAGTGGTGGTCTAGCGATGACCAGTTTATGATCTCAATTAAAACTCACCAATCTCCACATACTTATACTGACAAATATCACTTTGCTGAACTTGCTTAAGTAACAAACTTACATGCATATTTGTGTATCGGACCTCGGAGGTGCATATGATCCAAAACGATTGTATTGTATGAAATCTCTGGTACCGTCTTTGTAAATGTGTGATGAAAGTACTTTGTTCCAATCATTCATTCTATCATCTGATTGACAAATGACAACTAATTCGCTTTGACATAAAACAGCAACAAACAAACCCAAATCATTAAATCATTATGAATAATAACAGACCATGACATTTATTAGCGTTCTAACAAAGATAAAGTTAAGGTACTTTGCTCTTTTTACAAATGGCTTCAGAGGTGTAAGAATCTATGTAAATCACTCCACTGAAACTTTTGAGATTCGCTTAAGCTTATCAGTAAGACATGGCAATTACCTGTGAACAAATTTATAAAGCAAATAATTTAACTAAGAGGAGGGTACATTTATATATTCTATCAAACATTGAACTTTATAGTGTCAACATCTTTTAAAGTTTTGTTGCAACAAAAAGTAACAAGTATCACCTATTGATCTGATGTACTAAATAGCTGTTTTCACTTCAAATTATTTCCAGTTGACGAAGGCATTTTAAATAATATTATTTTACATCAGGAATCATCAGGAATATCAAACATAGACAGAATTTCCTTAATTAAGCAAGTCTGTTTCTTTATTACAGGTAGTCAATGCGACTGGAGATAAATATCTGGTAATGATGCATTTGGAATCACTCCGTTATTTTCAGACCGGTAACTGTTTGCTAAAGCTAAGAAACAAATATGATGTAATGATACTTTATTCACAACAAAATCTGATGCCAATCGGACCATAGTTGCAAGTGTTCTGAGTTTACTGAAAATAAAAATTCTGACAACTATTCATTAAAACGAAGTTGACAAGTACTGAGAGGTGAGTTATTATATTCCTAAAATGTAATAAGGTTTAAAATTGTGGGATTTACAGCCAGTGTTTGAAAATGGTATGATCAGTAACGTATACACTTTCAATAAGGAAAACCTGATAAATTCTTAAGCTATGAATAAGGTAATGTGCTAGCGAAATCAAACATTCATTATTTAGCAATACTTTTATAGTTAGTACTTCAGTATCTTAATAAGAAATAGGTTTTTATAGAGACCAGACATTCATGTTTGATATGAAATAGCCTTCTTTACATCATTAGCATTTCACGTGAGATTTGTATTATATGGTTGTAATTTCACAAATAGTATTTTAGTGAAATACGTTTAGCCCCATATTTCTCCCAAGCTCTAGTAGAGTAAATTGAGATCCAGACGGTTTTCAGAAAACTTTCACGGGGTCAAATAAACGCTCACCCAAGGGAATTGTATAGTTTCAGCTGACACTGTCCTGATCGCTCTACTATCCTCGTTTTAAACGCAAAGTTTTGGTCCATTAAGAATATATTACACAAACGCCATGATCGGTTTTTCCCACTGAGTTCAATCGAAAACGAGAGTTTTAATTTTCCTTTTGCTGATTTGTCGACATCTTTGGCTTTCAATTTATCTCCATGTTGTTTCATGTATACGAAGTAGCTATCTTTTAAAATAAGCCACCTATCAAAATGAAAGTAAATAAATAAAGACACGCCGTAAATCAGCAAAATGTGATTTCATTGAAAATTAAAGTTTAATGGTCGACTCAACCATAATTTACTTTAAAACCTCAGTAGGTCCAAAACTGATAGTACCATAAAAAACCAGTCGACCTTTTCTAGAGTAATAGTTATATAAATTTTAAGATTGGAAAAATCACGAAACTAATTAAAGGATTAGATAATTCATGCATTGCTAGACTACTTCGTAGTCCAACAATTATGAGCTGTAAAACAGTTCGACTAAACAATTTCTTAAACACTGCTTTGGTTTAATTTATAGCCATATCACTTCTCAATCGCCAACATCTAAGGATGTTTAAAGATACGTTGACTGTGAAGCTCTTGATTATTGATTTTAGTGAATAATACATGAATGCTTATTTTATTAACCGAAGTAAATTTGGAATAGATCAACTGAGAATGTGAATTCTATCAATTCATAGTTTCAACTGTCAGATTGTCCTAAGCCAACGCTTATTTCATTGTTAATTGTTACCGACTGCTTTCATTAGTAAACTTAAGTTCCTATCATTTGCTTGGGAATTCATCGGTCCACTTTTTCTCTTGTTTTTCTGTAATTCAGACCTCAATAATTAAGAACACGAAATTTCATTTAGATATTCTCCAATGTTTTTCTAGTTTCTTTTGTAAAACCTTGACGTATTTCACTTAAAACAAGTTCAAAATATCTGAACTTAAAAATCATCAGTAGTTCTCAAACAAACAAGATTCTGATATCGGCTGTACCACCAAGAAGTATTAAATCTAATTTATTAAATTCATTGCACTGGATCACAGTGATGTTTTGTCCTTGAAATATGTTTCGGTCTCAGTTTCAATACTTTCTGTACAGAGTTTGGCAAACAAACCTACTGGCCACCTAATTATCTTGACTTTTTTGGAAGTTTAACGAGTTTGCCAGACTTAAAAGATATAAAGCATCAATATACGGCTATAATTTGGTCGCTAGTGTCTTCAAAAACTACACAAGTATTTTGGAAGGACTAAATACATAGGGGAAAATTCTTATGTGGTGGTGTTCAATGAGGCTGTTGATTGTTGCTGACTCAAAAAATCGAGTGTGTAATGTATTGTTGTCATATCGTATTCCGAAGTCCTGTGCTGTCCAATATTGGAATAGGTTGAAAAAATGAAGATGATATAATATCACTCGTGCTAATCTAATACTTCTTGGTTAAATTATGTTATTTCTGGGATTCTTAGTTTGTGCTATAATTCAAGCACTCCTAATTACCATAGTTTCACATGGCAAATGTAAACCTTGTTTGAAACATTCAAGTCACGTAATTCAAAATCGGTCGTATTGGCAAAGGTGAACACATTCTATGAATCTTCAGTGTGAAAGCTCTTTCAAAATTTTCATTCATTCAAATTGAACCTATTATTGTACACTTGACTTTCCGCGAAAATCGATTATGTTATCCAAAACTCCCTACTTTTTGTAATTTCACACTACTGCCCCAGGGTAAATACAGGATTTTAAACCAACATAATTTGAGGTTACTTTTATTGTGCTAATTTTTTAAAATTAAAACTCCATATTCATAGACATTACCTTTTGGCTAGAAGTTCTAAATCGTAAAGTAGGGTAATAAAAACTTCCAGATATTCTACTTTCTCGTTTTTTTTCACTATGGACATGTGTCTACCTCTACTGAAATAGCCTCTCACTACTACCTGAACTAAAATTATCTGTCAAAGGAAAATGCTAAAGTCAGTTTTTTCGTCAAATGAATCTCAAAACATGTTAAATTTAGGCATGTAAAAAATAACAAATACAACAATGAAATATGTTCCTCAGTGTAAGCTTACTTACCGCTTCTGTAGACAGATTCCTGACACACAACAGCACTTATTAAAGTAATTGTACGATGGCGACTTATTAACAAAATCCTCTTTTAATTTCAAACCACCGGAACAATTCACGAAAGACAAAGGTGATACTTCAAGAAGCCTGAGCTACAAAATATTTAAAATTTAAAATCAGTCTTTTAGTTTGTGGGATTGGACATACGTTATAACATGTAAATTAGGGAAGTAATAAAATATTTTATACGGAGTAAGAGATTTTGTAGTGAGTAAAGTTGTTAGGATTGATAAACCCATACAGCTTTCAAGAGGAATTCTTGGACAAGAAAAGATATGTAAACTTTTCCGATAGAGACTAAAACAGCCCCAAATGACATGAATTCTTTCGTTTTTTGATCGATTACTTGACGACAAACAATGTGTTGTTATTTTATAGCCATCAGTGCTGAAATATTTCATTACGAGTAAACAAAGTTTAGTTTTTGCATAGGTTTACTCCAAAACGGGATAGTTATTAGTTCATCAATCTCCTTCCATGTTTTATATTCGTTGCTAAAATGAGGTGCATAACAAACAAATAACAGTCAGTACTGAAAGAATGGCGAAAATGCTGGCTTGGTACATGATTTTGAATCCTTTCTAACAAAATGCACGCAAAAAGCATTTTCCGAAACCAAAAAATAAAACCATGTATGGTTTTTCATTTCAATTCTAAATCTACTGTTTTGATGTAAATACAGTATTCGTGTATCACAAGAATAACTTTTAAACTATTATTTACCTTGTTTGAATTATAAATATAAAAACTTTAAGTGTGTACACAGTGCTATCACTTACATAAGAGATGGCCCGTTATTGACAAAGAAAGTGGATAGAAGACTGGTTTGTTCAGAAAATTCAACTCTGCTTCCCATGCTTTTCGCAGTAAGTCAATAATCCACACATACACTTGGCAATATATTCACAAGTCAGTAGTTACAAAACGTTCAGAAAATACAGTCGAAAAAATTAGATTTGTCTAGGTGTGTAGCATTATCCAAACACATAATATATAATCTAAGTAGTTTGGCGTGAAATAAAAACGTCTAGGAAACCTGAAACTACTCAAAATGTTGTTGAGGTTTTACTAACGCGTATCAATGGAATAAGAAAACTATTTTATCGGAGCATTTCAGGTGTTATACAGCCGAAATATTTCAAATCCTAGGAATTTAGAGATTATTAGGAAACACTCAAGTTTTAGGAGGCTTGAAAATCTAAAGTTTATATCCAGCTAGTTCCAGTTTCGATTTAGAAAGGATGGGATGTTAGATGTCGTATATATATATATATATATATATATATATATATATATATATATATATATATATATATATTCCAATTTGACAGTCAAAACGGATCTAAAATTTTAGTAATAAGCACCAAGACAATTTCATTGCATACATAAACCGTAACGACAAACTCACGACTAAATCTGTTTCTCGGTATTCTCGTACATCGATAATGCTCTGAATGTACTTTTCCAACATAACCTAAAATAATTTTCTAAAATAAATCTTGTTACTCTGCGATTATATAGTTTCTTCTCATTAGCAAATTCAAAAGTTGGAGGAAACGGATGGAGTTTTCGACGGCTGTCCTTTCTGTCAAAAGAATATATGAATATTTTAACTACCTTTTATTACTTATTGATAGCAAGGCTCTCTGTAGCATAAACGAAGTATGGAAGGACTTTAATTCCGCCAAAGTGCGGTGAACACTCCATTCAAAATCTCCATGTTTCAATCTTAGCTCGTACCTAGATAGAGTATGTTTAAAATACATTGGAAAACATATACCAACTCTGGTTAGTGAGTACAAGACTGCCATGAGGGAGTTGTTTCCCAGCCAATGACATAGTTCTTGATTGTAACTGGTTCCCAGCATCTATTATTATCTGGGATTCGCAAGAATGAACTATTTTGATTATAATTGGAGTATTCGGGAGAAATACATTGGCATTATTATATCGACATTTTTCATATTTGAGAGTGGAATCCAAACCTACAAAAGTATCAGTGTTGAATCCAAAAATAAGAAACCAACCTGCTTCCTCAGGAGAACTTGTAGCTTCCATAACCTTTTACATCGAAAATGAATTACATATATTGAATAGAGGAACTTGTATTAAAAAATATCAGGTTACTTAAACAAACAATTTTCAGTCATATCTGTAACTCGATACACCGCTGTAAAGTATACATCAGTGTTCGAAAATTTAATAAATTATAAGTTGACTGGCCGAATACAGTATTCTAGGTTAGATATCATGGTGGTGAGCTATATAAGGTAAGTGAAATTCGTCTAGCCGGACCTTTTTCACATTGGTGGCTTGATTACCAAACACTGAACTGCTTGCTGAATATCTCTAAGGTCAAGGATAGAAAAATCCGGATTGATCAATTTCACGTCATTGATTGGCCTATCGTCCAGTTTTTTCGCATGCCATTTTCATCAAGTATGTTCTGTGCGATGTAGGAGATTGCTTTAGTGTGATCATATTTGTTGCTTACTGTCACCTAATCTATCACAGTGCTTAGCAGTCACGATGGAGTGACTCAAAGTGTATATTTGGCAAATAGTGAGGTAAGCTAGAGTATCAACTCATTTTCGTTCAACTTAAATAGACTTCAACACTGTTGCTCTTCCAGTGTAAAATCCTTAGCATATTTCAACCAAGCTATCTGAACAGAAATTTACAGTGAGTGCTTAGAATTCATCACTGACCCGTATCATTTTATGATGGCTTTTCATTGTCACTATTATAACTGAAAGATGTCTAGTAACTTAGTAAATACAGGTAGAGGAATTTAATCTTTCCATTTGATACAGCTTATTCTTTGGAATTCCATGTGAATAGCACCTGTCTTTGGCTATGTGAGTCCTTGATTCAAATATTGAAAATTTCCTACTGCTCCGAAGTAAGGGGACTTCCCTAAAAGTCTGGATTCAGAAAACTTAATAAATTCGTCTTCGAAGTCCACCGGCATTACATCAGAAGTCGGATCAAATCTAGACAATTTTTCATGATTTTTCTGAATATGAATCTTACGTTAAGGACATAGGATTTCATAGTACTCGGGAATTTAAAGGCGAAACGTCAAACAGATTCAGCAGTAGTCTTGAAATAATGTCTTTGTGGGATGTAAACCATAATCAATGGTATACCATATTTTGGTCTATAAAGCTAATTACACACCGTTTTATTCTTAACGGGTGGTATATCTGCGGTCTGAGGCTCGAAGTATAATTGAGTAACCCAATAACATTAGTTCCCATGGGACATACTATAGTGAGTTGGCCTGAAAAGCTCTTACCCTTGGTTTATTCTAGAATGATTAACATAATTGGATAAGTATGAAATGGGACTGCATTATTTCACTCAGCCAATTTCCCGAAGTGGAACAATCTGTCGTTTCTAAGGGTTTTGATGTTATGTCCAAAACAACGTTCGTTATAAATGAAAAAATTTCCAACAACAATATTTCATATAATCTGGATATCACTTCACTTGTAAACACTGACTTCAAAGCCAGTAAGCAAGAGGAAGTTTAAGAGGTACCAGGCCCATCAATCTAAACAGATTAAATTGTTGTTCTAAACAAAATTGAAAGCGCAATAAGGGGATTTACGACCCTTTCACACTTGTCCCATCTTCACTTAGGCTGTATTTACGTTTTATATGAACCACAAAAACTACAAAACTTCAAGTAACGACGCAATGCTATAGTGTATCACCGCTCAAGAACAGATCACTCTGGTCGTCTATGCCCTTTCATTTCTTCCATAGTCCTGTTTCTCAACTGCAAAAAAGCGCTAACCAGTTTCAACTATGCGACTTGGACGATCTTCATTCTGAAGAATTATGACATCTCACGGTGAAAGCCGAGTTTCTTCGTAAGTCTCAAGGTCGATGCTTCGCCTGAAAACCAGAGCAAAAATTAGTATATGTGCACGGGATTTTCAGACAATGTGGAGGACCAGAAGGACTAGTCAACAATAGGCTCCGGGTTTCACAGTATCTATTGTAATAAGTAGAAGCTTCTATTTAGGACAATCAGGAAGGGACCAAAGAGGCACTAACTTCAACGTGTCAGAAGGAATGGATCTCCACCGAAAATCTGGACAAGATTCAAGAAAGTAGGAAGAAGGAGACAGCAGTTAACACCAGCCGAACAACAACAGAGAAAATCAAGGCTCATGCCGAATACGCACAAGCAAACAAGTAAGTGAGGAAGAGCATAAGAGCTGACTAGTAAAAGTACGTGGAAGCACAAGCAAGGAAAGATGAAAAAGCTGCAGGAGAAGAAATATGAGACAGATATATGACACGACGAAGAAACTATCAGGGGAATATAGAAAACCAGAGGTAACGGTCACGGATAAAGCAGGCAAAATAATCACCGATTACTGGTGGGCCGTCCTTTCTCCTCGTCGAATTCTAATAGATGTTCAATAAAATACTTCAGATTTTGACGGCTTTCGTTATTATTTTGTTTGATGCCGGAATCAATTTTCGATAAAACGATAAAAAACCTGTAGTGACTCACGTTTATTACGAGAACACGACTGGTTCAATAAAAACAATTATTATTATAAACAGTTGTACCAGTGTTTGTTTTAATGTGCTTTTGTTTAACTGTGCTAATTATAGCCATTTTGTGCTTCCATTATTGTTTCGCGCCTTTTGCTGCTGTTCGCACGTATTCTGTACTCCTGCTTCCGCTTGTACCGTTCTTGGCACGATCTCGGTATTCATTCGATACCACGAGATCGCCAAACGAATAAATCTGCTTACGCTCAACCTACGCCTTCTGATATTCTTGGCACGTGTATTTTGGTAGCGGTGTACATAGTCAATCGCGACTCGACGCCACGCTACAAACCCAAGAGATGTGGTATTAGTATAAACATTCAAAACAAAGTCTCTGTGTGTTATCACTACATAATCCTGGTCATAACTTTTTTACCTCAGTGGATTGCAAGAAGTTTACTCTAAGATCTACCTAGGATTATTGATCTATGTTTTTGTTTCCCTGAGCTTCAGTTTTTGCTGCTGTGAACAAATTTATCACAAATATTTTCTTGTTAATGTATTTTACTTCAACAAAACACAATGCCTTATTAAAACATATTCACACATCCAACATTCTACAATCACATCATTGCTGCGTTGTCCAGATTTTTAATGCACCACTAAGTGATTTTAATTCCTCATGGAGGGTGAGCATTTTAATACTAACATCAGTTATGTGATGGACTAAAAATAAATGCACGTATATATCAAGGGTTTTGTATTCAAAAGTTGAAAATACAACTCCAATGATTATAATATGATCTTTGATTATGACGTAATGTCTTCCAAGAAGATATGATAATTTTACAATTTAAAGATGCGTGTAATGGGTGTGTTAAGAACCTGTTTATCGACGAATCAAGTAAGAACGATAAATGATGTGTAACACGTGCATCTTATCATCGGTTAACAGCGTAGAAATACTAGTATAGGCGTTGTGGAGATTATTAAGTTTTTGATTGAGATCATGAACCGATCGATTTTAGACCACCTTTGGAAACCTGGAGGCATTGGTCAGCCGTTTCGTTTTATTGTGGGACTCTTCAGCAGTGCGTACCCACGATCTTGTTGGCGGGATTCAAACCCAGGACCTTCGGTCCCGCGCGTGAACGCCTAACCAACTGAACCTAGCGAAACGTTTTAGTGAATAATTATGCGCGTGCACATCAAATGAAGTCATGAAAAACAGTATGAATAATGACAAGATATTCATGAATTTATTTAATTAATTGGTCGGTTTATAAAGTTCTGTGTGATATCTGAATTTACTACAGTATTACCCGAGGTAAATAACTGGTGGAAAAACAAAGAAACTGCGAACTGGCATACGTTATAATGCATATAATTGAAGTGATATTATTCTCATATTTCGGCACACACTATATTATTTTTAATATTTGCGATCTGAGGTCTGCTAACTAATTCAAATTACTATACTGACAACATGTTTCCTATTTCCATTGGTTAAAATTACTAGTCAGTTTCTCGTGCCGTCTTAGATATGCGTCACAAATTACGTCACAGATATGAAACGAAGGAAGGGAGTTAAAATCCGAGTTACTTTTCAAAATACTAAAAGGTTTCGTTCTACTACTGTAAATCTAAATTTGCGTTTCGCCTAATGTATCCTGTCTTCTTTTTGTTTCAATGATGATCAGGAGGATCCCACTTGATTACTCACTAATCATAATAATCATCTCTTTCAAGATTAACTGAGGTTATCCATAAAATTCTTACTAATCAGTTGTTGTTTTATCCAACATTTCAGGTTTCTATTCGTCAATTGGGTTACTAGTTGCTAAGTATTACAGTGTAAATTTCGCTGATCATTTTATTTCAAGCGTTTCGAGTTATTTGGTGTGGGCATAGCATGTCACAGCTTTCTGGTTGCAAAGAGCTTGTTAGATGAACAACGTCACAGTGATTTCACAATTCCAGATTGATGACATTGTTATCACTACTTCTTAAAGTCCAGTCACATGGACAATTTTATTTGCGTTAAAGTCCTCACTCAAATCAATAAGGAAAAAATCTGAAAATTTCTCTCTCACTACAACACTAAGTTATATGAAGCTCAGATCACGAGCTCAAAACTATCTGTGGATTTGTAGTGACTCACTTTTATCACGAGAACACGGTTGGTTTATTGAAAACATTTATTATTATAACCAATTGTACCAGTGTTTGTTTTAATGTGCTTTTGTTTAACTGTGCTAAAAAGCATCCATTATTCACACACTTCGATTGTGTCTTCGCGCGAATTCGGTTACGTTCTGTAACCAAGCTTGTATCCTTGCACGATCTCGGTATCCTTTAGATACCACGAAATCGCCAGCAAATATATCTCCGCTTGGTCCATTATATGCCTTCTAATATTTGGCCTCTGGGGGATTTTATGGAGTCATTTGGCACGAGTTTCTTGGTAGCGGTGTTCATAGTCAATTTTCACTCGACACCACGCTACAGATTTAAAAATATCAAAAGTCGATCATGACCTTTCAGTTGGCTATTATCAAACAATAACAGGTATTTC